GAATATCTTGATATTAAATGCCATAATCGCAATAGTAAGCATATATGTAAGCAGGTCCGCGGCATTCCGTTCACCAAGGATACCCGACAAACACCTCACACCATGCCCCTTGCACCTCTAAAGGCCATTGCGAATCATGAGTAGGACATGAATATTGGCTTAAGAATAGGAGCAGGCGTTCACCAGAGTTACACTTGGTTTTCAGCATATGGGACGTGCCAATTCGGACATCAGCACCTCACAGTCCTAGTTTGTAAGAGTTTTAAAAAATGAAACTACCCGTAATGAAGCCATTAAAAAGATGACAATCATGTGTACATCGGTTGAGTTGGCAAGTGATTAAAACACAGATATTTTTTAGAGGAAAGTCTCGCAAAAAAGCGCACATACTACTCATTTCCTACCACGAATAAATATACCCCACGCACTACATTGCGCAAAACTAGTCTTTCTGCTGAAATCGTCTAGTGCTTAATAAAGAAAGGCAATAAAATATCTGTATGCAATCTTTAATCCCGCAGCCCGTATAAATGCAAGACTGTCAGACTCTTTCAAAAAAATGTTACTACACAATCCATTATATATTGTCTATCCGAAAAAACTTACAAAAGACTTTACTATATTAATACGGAAATGATGAGATACACTAAGAGTATGATCGTTCGATTTTAGATCGGGTTCTTCTAGGAGTTTTATTCATTTCTGTGAAACGAGCAAACTAAATTAGAGCATCAATTTCAAAATCTTACCGCTTTATACACATATCATATAAAACTCTTGCATCGCCTCTGTATCAAGATTGCCACAGGCTACATTAGGCGTGGGTAAAAGGCATTATGTCAATACGGTCGCAGTGCCATTGATAAACCCAAAGTTACATCTATAAAATACCACTGGTGCTGTACGTATTACAGTTAGTTTAAGTATCATTACAAAACTTCACCAGCACCAACACACACACAATTACTAATGTGGTTAACAAGGCGCATATCAAGAGGGCACGAACCCCCAACCGGAACCCAGAAGGAGCTAGTGGCATCGGATCCAGCACCATTCCAGGAATTAGCATGCGGTACAACGGACTTGAAAGATAGATGCACCGAATCACAGCAAATGCTATAAATCCATGGAAAAAAAAGGACACATACCCAATAATATACCCTGAGCAAACAGTGTGCCAGCCGCATCATATGATAGCCTCCAATAATGTTGTCACCTTTATGAGCAAAATCTTACAAGTGCACAGCAAACACGGAAATCAAAAAGAATAGCCGCACCAGGAATTACACTTTTGGAAACTTTTAAAATGCAGATAATTAGTAATAGTGTATTTGCAAAGTCCTCCACTGGGTCTGTACAAAGAAGTACTACGTGCCCGAGCATCAAGGTAGCGACTTTCGATCGGATAAAAAAAGTCCGCCTAAAAAAATCAGCGCGATACTCAAGCAGTTACTTATTAACGAAACGACAGTGCCTGAAAGCAAAAGTCTACAAGTACTCTTAATATGGAGGCGCGCGCGCGCAGCAGAGGAGGCCTATCGTAGGTTAAAAATAAATTAACTGAAAGTGGTCAGAATGACACACTGCACAATAGAATCAAAACCCGGGTATCTCAGGCATTGGCCGTATTTTGTCGTAGTAAAGCCAATGAACTGGTCATCGTGGTATACTTGACACTGGAAGCACACATGATGAAAGATGTACGAACAAAAATGTAGAGAATACTATCTAAAACAAGCCCAACTTACGCTGAAACCATACGCACACAAATATGTCCAGGACCTATTTAGAAAGAGTAAAGACTACGTAAGATTGTTGCTAATACACGCAGAACCCCCATAACTACAATTATCACATAATTACCTATAGATGTGCCAAAGATACGTACTTAAATTCCTAATTTGTACCATCTTGTTCAGTTATCCATTTATCAATATAGACATACTACTATCAGTTGTGCCTGATGAATCACCATACCCCGGCCCCAATCTGCACAATAAACCAGAACTACGACTAGAAAGAAAATGATTTATGAGTAACCTCATGGCCAATAGTCATCATAGACCATCGGATATCATATTTCTACATATTTTTCTGTATAACGACACATATCTCCTGTCACAATTACCTTATACTCCTGCGGCTCGGACCATTGTTATTATAATAAATAGTATATGCGCCTACGACTATCGTAGCGGGTTGACACACATGGAGACATTAGATATAGGGGTGTGGGATATTTATTGTTGGTGTTGAAAGAGATGGGCACCTGTCTTTAGGTCCAACTGAGGCAAAACACAGAGTAAAGCAGCAGCCACACGCATCAGCAGCCCATAAGGCACCTTCAGTCACCCAGTACAAGAGCGGGAGAGAACAAGATAAAAATTAAAGTTCAGAATAAAAATATCAAGAAGGCAAGAGACTATTGGAGATGCAAGATATATAATACTTGCCAGACGTATAACACTTAAGAATGATTAAATTTAAGGGATCGGTGTCCTCATTTCGCTTGACGTTGAAGTTTCATCGTCATAAGTCCTGTGAGCCGATGGAGTAGCAACAGTATGTTTTCAGATACACTACGCTCTGATTTGGTAGGATCGAAGTGTCAAAACCACATGGACGATGCATCAAAGATACTAAGCCAGATAAAAAATGTGTGCTGCATAGAAACTGTACCAATATAATGATCTATCTTAAAAGTGATTCAAGCATAGCAAAGTGAATTGTTCAGGTCTGGTTACCAAGTTTATATAGACAAAACAACAAAAAAAAACACAAACAAAACAATAAATCGGCTGACTAAACTATCGTATATAATTATGCTCCGAACCTAATTATCGTTAGAACAATTTTTATCGGGCCAATTTATCATAATCAAACAAACATAACACTGCTGACAATGTATTGAGTTCCAAACATTATCGAAAAGACTTCGCTGTTATGTACGGGCTAACCTATGTTGGAGATTCCAGACGATACGCTTAATAACGTGGTATTCCAATCGTAGGGGAAGTTATCCAAGCCATTAAGTAGTATCGTTAACAGTATAATAATTGTATTTATATAAAGGATGATCCATAATTTCATACTGTGGGATTTCTCCAGTTTATAACGTCAGTGCATTTGAAGTAGCTTTGTTAGCCTTTTTCACAAGTATATAATATGTAATAATACCACCCAACTGGACAATACTATATGTAATTCCAAATAAATCCCAATCAAAGGTTGCAAGCAGTGATGGCGACCTTCAGCCCACCCAGAGCCAATTATTCATTCAAATCCAATTTGTTGGAACATTGATAAAGGGTCTTTAGACCTGGCAATTGTTCTCTAAATCACAGTCTATCCCTAATTAAACATTAATGACTAACCCCCTCCAAAGACACAATCATACATGCCAAATCTAAATCTTCTAGCTCAAAACTCCCGAAAGGAATACCAAATCAGAAGAAGGGTCTACAGTCCGGCGCAGCGGTATTCCTCAACTGATTGTTCTGAGCGAACAGTGACTAATATTTTAGCACATCTATCATAGACAGTAGCACCAAGAGCTCCATACGAGGTTCAGAGGAGGTGGTCCTTTCTGTGCGCAGGACTGGAGGGATCGGTTTCATCAAGTGCCCCCGCAGCTTTTCGAGTAAAATCATACAAACGGAGAAAGAAAAATTATTTAGTATTATCTTAGGATAAGGGACGTCCATAGGACGGCTAATACATGATCCCCCAGAACGGAGCAGATCTGCGCAAACAAACATGATTATGTAACTTCCGCAAACGATTAGACCTGTTATATCATTCAGAGTAGAGTTTCATATAGATGCCACAAAACTGTGTTTGCATACGCACACTTACAAAGACAATAGAAACAGGGACTAAAGAAGAACCATAGTAATCCCCAAGACCTCTAGAAGAGTGTGTACCTACAATGTCCATGCACGCTGAACATGTCAGAACATTCATTTAATCGCACAATCATCACACGCCTACAACGTGTAGCAAGGACCGCCTGGCCAGCATGCCAATACAACTCAGACACCAGTTTGATGACTGTATACAGTCCAAAATGCCTGCAATGTCCTTTTAATTATTACTATTGCATATAAGTAAGGACCCAATAAATTCTTGTCGTTAGACACCACACGACTTATAAAAAGATGACCAATTACTTCATCACCGAGCATAAACGAGATAAGATGCACTCATTAAGTGACATTGTCCCCCTAGACGCCACAGTCAAAGGTAGAACCCAAATCCACAAGAAAGAATAACGCACAAAAGCAAAGCATGAAGCCACTGTTAAGTTGATCTGGAATCAAGAGGAGTCCCTTCCAGTGACATAAGAGTACGGAGTTGGTCATAGGCACTAACATGTACAGATGTACATTGGTGGATGCCAAGGAGGCAAGAGCGTAAGAAGAAGATGGAAAGAGTGAGGTCCCATGAGGCGAAAAGCAGCCCATATCAGGCAGTCAGCTTCCACCACTCTCCTTCAAAACAGAGATCCACAGAAGCGAAGAATATAAGGATAGCCAGTCAATTATGCTTCAGATAGTGAATATTCAAAGCATGTGTATCTCAGGTGGCAATGTCCCCCACATGTGAAAAATAACTCAAACATATACTAATTAACCCGCTTACAAATGAAGCTAAAATCCTTCACGCTATTCACAAACGCCAATATCGCCAAAATTAGCCTAATTAAGCCATAAAGTAGTCTACAAAAACCACGCTCAGCCTTAGAGGCTTAATCATCATAAGCTACGAAAATCAGAAGGACCCAGACAGATCTAACATATAGACTATATGGAAAAAAACCCAGAGATACAGCATACCAAGACACCCACTACCTATGCTCAAAAGTAATCAATTGTGAATGATATAATCTAATACCGAAACAAACCCCAACCCACCACACAGAACCTATATCGAGCATAAATACGCATAAACACTACACAATGAACCCATTGCGGAGACCTGGCAGTCATATAATGCGCTGTATGCAGTGGATCGGCGAGTCGGCAGGTCAGAGCCGCACCCGCGGGAAGGCTGATCTATCCCAGTACCGCAGTCGGCGGCGTCGGCCAGCTGTAAGCCGGTCACCTCGGGGTCTGAGGACGTCCCCAACACAAAAACCCTCCCAATCATAAAATATATATAGGGAAGGATCAGCGGCGTTACATATTAGAGTAAACGCCCAGACAGTCCAGAGAGTGAAAAGCTACAAGAGACACAGGTCCTGGCTTTCTGACGCGCTACATGAAGACAGAAGACAACTCGAATAAGAAGTGTAACAAAGGAAACAAAATGGATTTCATGTTTACATACAAGGAATAGTGTTGAACATCCTAGACAAGCTGCATTGTAACTAATGAACTGAACGATATCGCCATTACTACAAAAATCTATCTAATTGGCAACCCTAATTAAAGACATCGTCCTGTGGACCCACCACATGCAGAGGACAAGGGACTGGATAGCTATGACAAAGGATGACAGCCGCATTGTCACCCCCGCCACAGAAATTGACGTAATAAAGGGTACAAAATAAAATAATGAATGGTAAAAAAATCAATTACAACTTTAAAATTACAGGGAAAGGTTAGGGTTTGGACACATACGATTATCGGCATAAATGTGTAGAGAACTAGAACAGAATGCATATAGAAATGTATTCAAGCAATATCGGAAATGTATGAAATAAAAGTTTAATGAACTGAATAAGGAATTAGTGAAGTTCATGAAAAATATCCCATGACAGATTAGAGTTTCTACAAATCAATCATTAGGTGGCAGAAGCGCTCACATGACGACAAATGATCTTGTGAACGATACCAGAACGAGCTGTGAGTGTGAGTGAATAATGAAAAGTGCAGTGAGCTTCAACACTGGTCAAGGTGACCCGCTCCGTAATATGCACCCGTTGGGCATACTATCCGTCGCGACTCCCGAATACCTACAACAAGTTTACATCCAATCCAGACGTATGAGCTCGGATAAACCCATACCACGTTGACCGCTCATTAAACCATTAGCATCATTGGCATACACAAAAAAGTAAGTATGAAGTCATCTTTAAATCTCTCGATTGTGTAGTATGAGAGGATAAACTTCACCATAGTGGATTATTGTGTATGCCAATGAAGCTAATGTTTAATGAGCTTTCAACTTGGTGTATTGGTGAAAACCTGCACACAACGTCATTGATTGGAAGAAAACTATAATTAGTGAAGATCTTTTTCTTCTACTGATAGATCCTCACTTGTTTTGCAACAGAACTGTCTCTGTCACCAATGACCAGTGATAGAAGCCACACTGCACTTTCATATTTCACTCACACTCACAGCTCAGATCTGTAAACGTTCACAAGAACAATGTGTCGTCACTGTGAGCGCTTCTGCACCGAATGATTGATTTGTAGAAACTCAAATATGACCATGATATTTTTCATGAAACTTCACTAATTCCATTAAACAGTTCCATTAAACTTTATTCATACATTTCAGATAATGCATGAATACATTTCTATAAGCATACTAGTTCTAGTTCTCTACACATTTTGCCGATAATAGTATGTGTACAAACCTAACCTTTCCTGTACAAATAAAGTTGTAATTGATTATATTAGACCATTCATTAATTCATTTTCTACCCCTTTATTAGTCAATTTCTGTGGCGGGGGGTGACAATGAGAGCTGTCATCCAATGCTCATAGCACCAGTCCCTCTGATCCTCTGCAGGTGGTGGGTCCACAGGAAGATGTCTGTACATTAGTGGTGCCAATTAGATAGATTTTAGTAGAATGGCGATATCGTTCAATCATTAGTTACAATGCAGCTTGTCTAGGATGTCATAAACACTAAACCTTGAATGTAAACAATAAAATCCATCTCTTGTTTCCTTCTGTTTACACTATTATTGAGTGTCTTCTGTCTTCATGTAGACGCCTGCAGAAAGCCAGGACCAGGTGACTCTTGTAGCTTTTCACTCTCTGGACTGTCTGGGCGATAACTCTAATGAAGAAGACGCCGCTGATCCTACGGCCCAGGACTCCACAGACCCCATGAGGTATCCGGTCTATTCTCATTCCTCTCCGTCCTCCAGCTGGTACTGTGAGAATCATGCCGTACCCGCGGGGAGCTGCTCTGACCTGGCCTCGCTCGCCGATCCACTTCACAGCTCCTTAAATGTACTGCCAGGTTCTCCGCAAAAAGGTTTCATAAGAGAGAGGGCTAAATATGCTCTGATTAATGTGACTTTATTTGGAATTGAAATAAAACTTAGAACTGAGCAACACTGCAACCCAATCATGCCAAAATCTTCACTGTAATTTTGTAGACAATGAGTTATCATTTAGCAACTTGTTAGAAAAAGCCTAAGTCAATATATAGACTTTATGAGCCATCTGAAAAAGCTAATCTAAAGATGTGATTAAGGCCACAAGTCTGGGAGCTAGTTAGATTTTATACAACATGTTAGGGTCTAAATTAGGTCTAATTTAGGGTCTAAAAGGGTCTAAATATCCCAATGCTAGTCATGTTAGGAAAAATCATCAATATTCAGCTGGGAAAAAAATAAAATATTTATGATATTTTTTAATCACTGTGGTGGGACAATTCCACCTGAGGATAGCACAAGCGTTTGAAATCAATCTGACTCAAAATTATACAGTGCAATCCATGATATTCAAAGCGCTTTCAAGTGTAACTCATTATGTAGAGTATGAGTGGTGGGAAGCTATACTGCCCTGATGAATGGCTGCTTATCTGTGCCATTGGACCCTCACACAATCCATCTTTCTCATGAACAGCACAAGTCTCTCCATGGCCTCGCACCAAAGTACATCTGTGACATGTTAGTGCCATATGAACCAACTCCGACTCTGAGGAGCACAGGGACTGGCCTCCTGCTTGTTTCCAGAGTCAGAACTAAACATGGGCAGACAGCGTTTCAGATTTATGCTAAAATCAATCTTGTTTAAAATGTGAGACAGGCTTTTACTTTGACAATGTTCAAATTCTATCAAAAGGATTGCATCTTAACTCTTTTAATGCACTGTGATTATTAATTGTTCAGCACTTTTTATAATCGTTTGTTTCAGACTCAAGATAAAATTGGTCCATACAAAAAAGGCAATATAAAAATAAAAGTACAATGCATTCAAATGTACTGTATACAGTCAGTCAAAGCAGGTTTATGGATAGTAGAGGGCATCTGTCCAGTGCTTTCTCAGAGCAGACACTTTGAATTGCCGTGTGTATGAGTTGTGCTATACAAGTGAATGTACATACATGTACATCTTGCATGTACATGTTATTAACACAACAACAATGAGGACAGTGGTTGAGACATTTGTTCATCCATAGTCCCATTTTCTATAGGTCATTTACGTTTGCTAATGCTAACACTTTTTTGTGCAGCAGATATGAACCACTACAGCTAATATATAACATTACAAATCTTATTCTGAAGTAACAAAAAGCATGTTTTTTTTGGTCAGATGCTGCCTCCTGTGATCAGGGGTGTGTGCGACAAGTACATAAGCCGGTCCGTTCTGTACTTCCCTTGATCCAGATGAAAACTAAATTATTTATCTTTCTCCGGTTTTAGAAGTTACACGAATAGCTGCAGTGGTGCACTTGATGGAAACCAGATCCCTCCAGTCCTGCGGCACAGAAAGGGACCACGCTCCTCTGAACCCACGGTGAGTTTGAGGCTCTATTTTCAGACAGTTCTCAGTAAATATTGTGGCTAAAAAAAAAGTCCTTTTTCTCTCAGGACAATCAGAGGAGGAGAACCTCAGCTGCCGACAGAGACCACATCTCTGATTATGGGTATGTGCTCTTTCTGGAGTTTTGAGCTATAGTTTTAGGGATTTTGCATGGTTTGATTGATTCATTTGTTTTTGTAATTCAAAAATGTGTAGAATTATGTATTGATACTTTTATTTATAGAACCATTTCAGTACAAAAGACCAATAGTCAAAGAATCCAACACATGATTGATATGAATAAGTACATTATTGTTTGTCATATATTTTCTCCAACACATTCTTTGCACCTTTGATATTGATATTATTTGAATTATCATTATTATTATTGACCAGGTGTTGTGGGTAAAAACATATTATATACATTGAACAAGCAAACAAATTCAACTTCAAATGCACTGACATAAGTAGAACTGTAGATCTCTCCAGCGAGTTAGAAAGTAATGGATCTCAGTTAAAAAAAACAATTATTACTTTAACTATACACTTAATTGCTTTGATACATGCCCCAACTAAATGTGAATACCGTATAAAAGTCTATCTTCTGTAACTCAACATATGGTTAGCCCTGTAGCATAATCATCTAAGTCATATTTCAATATTTTTGGAACAACAAAACAAATCAGCAGGTGGTTATTATTTATTGATATCACAATTTGGCCCAAAAAAATATTTACTAACTATAATTATGTTCTGAGGCGAAATAACTATGCGAGATATGTCCGGCCTTTATTTTATGTTTTTTTTTTTTTTTTAATAAACAGTTGTAACAGCCTGAACAATGTCACTTTGCATGCAATGAGTCACATTTGAAGATACATTATATTGGTACAGTTTCTAGCAGCAGCACATTGTTTTTACAGTCATATTATCATTGATGGCAACGTCATTAGTTTTGACACTTCTACCTACCAATATCAGAGCGAAGAATTTACATAAAACAACATTTGCACCCCACTTCACACAGTACATAATCGCTAAGAACTACAAACTCATCTGAATTAGGACACCTCTCCCAAAAATAAATCATCATGAATATTTAACGGTCTGTGCAAGTAATAAAATCTGTTCATCTCCAAATACAAGCTTTCATCTTTATAATAATATTAATAACAATAATAATAATCTTGTTCTCTTCCCTCTGCTTGTAGGCTGGGGGACAGCTGGGAGCCTTATGTGCTGCTGATGCTGTGGCTGCTGCTGTACTGCTGCTGGGTTTTGCCTCAGTTGGACCTAAAGACAGTGCCCAGTCTCTTTTTCAACACCAGACAATAAATATCCCACACCGGCAAAACTAATGTCTCCATGAGTTCAACCCTCTACGAATTCGTATGCTCATACTACAATGGATCCTAGCCTCGATGATAAAAATGGACATGTTACAGATATGAATGATCGTTGAACGATGAAAAATATGTAGAAAATGAATCCAGGATGTTCTATGATGACATTGCATGAGGAAGACTCAGAAAAAATTTTATCTTTCAAGTCGTGATTTCTGTGTTTGATTAGAGCAGATATTTCCTTGGGATGTGTGATGTCAACGTTACACGACCTGAAAGTATAATTCTATAATTGATAAATGGTGAAAACTGGAACAATATTTGTCAAATATGCCAATAATTTGCTAAACTAATTCACGTAAAATCTTGGGTAAAAATTATATAAATGTATTTTGGTTGTTCTGTCTGATTTAAATTCTGACAATCATAGCTTAGTCTTAACACTTTCTGAAATAGGACCTTGTTACATATATTTTTTCTCTTTTCAGCTTAATTTTGCTTGTTTTATAAAGTAATCTCTCAATGTTTGTTCGTACATCTTTGGCGGATCATTTTGCTTCCATTGACAAGTAATACCACGATGACGCTTTCATTTCTTTGACAACGACAAAGAAACGTGGCCAAAGTCCTTGATAACGCTGGTGTAGATGCTTCTATTTGCAGTGTGCATTTCATTACCCCAGTTCAGTTAACATATTTATACACACAACTGAACTGCCAGCCTCTGCTTCTCCTCGCTGCCTCCATATTAAGAGATACTTGTAGACTTTTGCTTTCAGTGGCTTGGACTGTGTTCGTTAATGAAGGTCACTGCTTGGATTAGCCATAGTTTTTATTATTCTGGGAGCGTAATGATTTCAACCGATCGACGACTCAACCAATAGTTCTGCTTATCACTTGAGGGATAACAATATTCGTTCACAGACGCCATTTGAGGACTTTTGCAAAAACACTAAACAAATATCTGCATTTAGAAATGTTGTCCATATATTGTATTCCTTGAGCTGCATTCTTTAAGATGTTCCGTTGTTGGCTGTACACTTGAAAGAATTTGCTCAAAAAGGGGTGACACATTATTTGTATGGCACTCAAATAGATCTGGCTTTTCATAAATCTACTTGGTAAAGAGGAAATTGTAAGTTATTCCAATAATTTTCCAATGGTATTTAGCTGCTTTTCATATAAACTGTTCAGATACATACAATTCCTTATTCTCTCATGCAAATTCTGGCCTTGTTCATACAGAGCCTAATTCCTATCTCCAAGCAGTGTTCCTTTTTTGTTTTTCGTTCCACATATATGCTCCTATTTAACCCCATTATAAAGGATTGGTGTTTTGTTGCTGTATAAAGATGATGAAATATACAAAATCAAACTTAAATACTGTACAGCACATATTGTAGATATAGATGTATACTATGGGTTATCAATGCACTGCTGCCTATTTGACAAGCCATTTCCCCCGCCAAAAGAGATGCCCGAGTTGCAACGTTGCTACAGGAGGCGATGCAAGTAGTTTTAAATATATTGTATAAATGCTTTAGATGTGTTTAAATGAAGGCTCTAAAAACGATTGCACTTTTCACATGTAAGAGGTAAAAAAACTGCCAAAGATAGAACCGCGAACACAGATCGAACGAAGAGAAACACAAGTGTAACTCAGCAGTTTCCGTATGTAATATAGTAAAGTCTATTTGTAATATTTTGTCTGATATACAATATATGAATGGATTTTGTAAAACAGTTTTATGAAAGAGTCTATACAGCGTTGCTTTAGCTTGCCTGTCTGTAATAAGAGAATGCATTACAGCTATTTTTTTGCCATGTCTTAATAAAAGCACTATACGAATGACATCACAAGTTTTGGGCGCAAGTTAGAGCGATTTGAAGTGAAAAAATCTATGATGAAATGATATTATTTTGCGCTTTTTTTCTATACTTCTCTAAAAAATAACAGTGTTTTAATCACTTGCCAACACAACCTATGAACACATGATAGACATCAATTGATAATGGCAACAAACTATTGATTTCATTGTGATTTAAACACATACAAAGGCTAGGGACATGAATGTGTACTGTAATGGTCCTACTTTGGCACTGTCCATAAGCATAAAACCACGGGTGAAGCTGCTGTTTACTCCTTCAGCCTCAACAGAGAAGCCCTTATTTCCAGTCCACCTCAAAACTCAATGGCCATTATAGTTCAAGTGTCCAGGAGTGGATGGGTTTTTGTCGTTAATCCTTGTGAGAACTGGAAAGCCGCGTCCCAGTTCTATGCCAGAGTATGCAAACTAATGCTAAATGGGCAATTAAAACCAATCAAACCATGACATGAACTGCTAACAATGTAAATGTGTGGAAAATCAATGGGGCCCTGTTGTGCATGCATGAGTTTCAGGACAGAATATGTACCAAGGGGCAAGTTGTGCTTCTCTTCCAAAAAAGGGAACAAATAGAGAATAGAATACAAGTCAATGTGTTCTCAACAATGTGTGGTAGTGTGTGCCTGGAGTCATTACGGCTAATGGACAGACCCAGTGATAAAGTCAAACACTAAAACTGACTCATTATTATTATATTTGTTTTGTATCTGAAATCACAAATGTTTTGATTGTTTTAACAGCACCGTCAAGTGCAATAAATTCATTAATTAAAGATTGTTGTATGTGTCATTTGTATCTCCTTGTTTTAGTGTATACTCCACTGAGGGATCAGCAACTCAATTCAACATTATTTTTCTATTGTAAATAAAGTATAAATACACCTCCATACTGCTCTTCTGTCCCCCCTAGTCTTAGCCAGATGGGGGCCCACGTTTTGGGGCTGACTAAAAGCCACAAACCAAGGCTTGGGTATGAGAACTATAAAAAGGCTCTAAATTGTATTGCAACTGTTGCATTGTGAAGACTAAAGAGGAGAAGAAAGTAAACACCATGCTACTGTAGATTGCAAAGTGCTAACATGCATTTGTGTTTAGATTATGCTACCATCTAGTGGCCGAAAGTGGTAGTGGCACTCACAATATTGCACCGCAGCAAAAGTGTTGAGGCCAATTCAGGGGGAAATAAATAAGGATATTGTCGTTAGGGCATTATCTAACCGATAATTCTCTATGTTACTCTTAATTGTCCCCATAGAGACATTTGCCCTCTGCATTTGACCAATCTTCAACTCCACGGTCAACATGTTATAGGAGGAGCGGACAGAGGCTCCTTTCGACGGTGTGAATCATCAACACCATTTCAATATTAACTGCTGGAAGAGAACAGATCTTGGATAAGGGTTAGGGTCCTGCTATTGAGGAGTATGACTTTTCTGCACCTAGATGCTTTGATTGAAAGAGATAATATACATTTATAGTTGTGTTATTGTAGTCATATTCTTTTATAAAAATAAAAAAAAATTGTTAGTGGTTGAAATGCTGTCATTTCAAATGAAAAATATAATGGAAAAATAAAGGCTTCATTCAATATTCAAAGAAGGAATGTCTTTCAGAAGGAACTCAAATCGATCCACAAAATCACACACAGGACAATCTTAATGAAAGGGTTGAACTCATCCATAATTTACCTCCTCACCCGGACAGGAGTGCAGTACCGTTCTTTGTCACTAGAAGTCAGCAGAACTATATGAAACAATATAAACAAGGTATACTTATGTGGAACAAACATGGATCTATAAGGTAACAAAGGCAGACAAGATGTAGGGGGGGGGGGGGGGGGGGGGGGATTATGATGCCATGACTCTGGGGGGTGTAGATGACTTCGAAGATCCAACATTGTTGATCAAATGTGCTATAGAAATAACGTGTAGTGGGTTGTACAGCTCTGTTCCATCTGTTGATATAAAGTCAGAGTCTGGCTACCAGCTTCAACTTATGTGTATAGTGTACACTGTAATATATACAATCACACAGATGCAGCGGTCAACAACGTCACAAATATGTTGATTTCCAAAATAATGATTGAGATCTTTTATAAATGCACCTTTTGACAATTATACTTAATAATTCGCCTTTTATGACTCTGTGTCGTCTTTAAACACCAACCAGTGTTATACATTGATTGACCTTCATCCGCTGTCTGACTCTGGTTTGCAGGTTTAGAAGATCAAGTATATGATATAAGGCCTATGGCAATGGGAAAATGTGGGAAAGGTCGTATTTGTGGACCTATATCAGTATGCAAATGAGTCTGAAGATACACCTTTTTCCTTATAAAATGCCATACTCTAAAATCAGAGTCACTACAGGGAGACAGTACAGACTGCTCAGTTCTGCGCTCTGATTGGTCCGTGGCTCAGAGTAGAATTTGCATATAAGGTTGTGTTGAACGCCTGCCTGCACACCTTCAGGGCACGGGAGAATCCTCTCGTAAACAGGTAAGTAGGAACTCCTATTTAACTATGAACGAATGAAAGACAAAAAGTGCTTTTTTGGAATATTTGCGTAATGGGAAACGGGATGCTGTGTTCTGCACGGATAATACAAGTTACATCTTTGCTCATCTAAGTGAGTGAGTTTTTTGGTAAATATGTAAATCTAAAGTATTTTTTATTACTTTAGTTGTAGTGGTTGTATTTCTGTTTTGTGGCAAATTGTTGGACAAGAAAAAAATCAAATTGTGACAGAATATTATTAATTAGTAGTGTCTTTTTTATTACAAAAAGAATAAAAAAGATGGATTGATTTATAATTAATTTCAGTTGTGCATATTTAAATTATTATATCAATGTAAAAATGTCTCAATTTTTCAAGAGGCTATTTTTCATCTGTAGTAAGATAAAGTAAAGTAGTGCTTTTAAAGTTTGCTTTAGGGATCCAATAAAGAGAAAATGTATCAATCCACAAGCACATTACTGCAAGTCTAAATGCCTGATAAAATGCATGATATAATAATATTATATAGCTAATAAATTAATTATTTAATCTTACAATGAATAATGAGAAAGGTTTCAATTTAAACGGGCTGAGGCTTTTGTCTGTATGGCATCAAACTAATATTAATAATTTTAAAAACAATTTTCTCCAAGACGTTTTTGAGCATGTATATCGTGGAAAAAGAGGCTGAAGAACGCACAGACATCTCTGAAGATCCCACACATTTGTGGAGAATAAAGGAGAAACCTTACATGTCCGTGTCAAGTCTTTGCCATCCTTCATCTGGAGTCAATCCAAGCCAAAGCACAAGCCCAGACAGTCAACCACTCTTCAGGTAAATGCACATAAACACTATGCCACGTAATGGGGAAAGCCTCATATCATATTATATTTTAAGGGCTGTCAAGGAAGAATGCAGCTTCAGTAATCAATCTGATGAAGAGGAATTGGAGACTCCGCTGCCACTGCGGTCGGAGGAAGACTGGCTCGATTATCACCATAATTACGGTAAATAGGTGTTTTGTGTTCAACGCTCAGGTGCGGTGGTTGTTTGCTGTGGTACTGGTCATTGGAATGATAGGCAAGCAGACATGGGTCTTTTCTCTATCCCGGTCTCTCATTCGTGTAGCTTTAACCCAGGTGGATTTGATGACATCACAGGAAATAAAGGCAATAGTGAGCCACAGACAATTGTTATTATAATTTCATGACTAAATAATTTAGTTTGGGAAATTGTACATTTCAAATCAAATAGATAGTACACTCTACTAAACTAATTTGAATCTATGTAACATACAAAATCAATGTCTCTCATTCAGTAAATCCTATTGAATGGGACAGTTTCCAGGAAGAGGGCTTAAGTCCACAAGCACACAAGTCTGCACAAGAATGGGGATTTAGAAACACCCTTTTTATAGCCTCTACGTTTCTCTACGTTTATTTTATACCGACCTCTTAAAGCAAAAACAATTGGTAATTTGTCTGCAATAACAATCGCTCAATGATTCTTGAGGAGATTGTGTTCAGTTTGTTCAAAACAGTGGACTAATACACACAAAACAAAGTGCTATTACATTCATGTGTTGTGTATTAATGTTCAAATTTCATCATCCATAAGCAGTGTTGGGAGTAATGCGTTACAAAAGTAATGTAATTAATGTAATGTATGGCTTTTTGCTTTTTGTTTGCTTTTTACTCTGTACGAAGGTCTGTGCATACATTGTGTTTTGTTTTTATGCAATGCCACCTGAAGATTAGCAGCGGAGAAAATATCTGTTCCAGTAGTATCTGCCTCAAAGTGTTTTTCCTCTCTGGTAGAAGATGGCTGAAGCAGAAGCAGGCACTATGAGAATTTTCAAGATGGGCATGCTCCAATTTTTAAATTTTGCTTCTGCCTCACAATCACAATCACAATTACTATCTTACATACACAAAGCACTAAACTTGAGAATCTTGAATTCCACTCATTCCAAATCATATAGACATAGATAACATTTTAAAGTGTAACTATACAAATGTTCCCAAACGTTGCAAACTGAGGTGTACTTGTTCCGTAGGCCATTGGCAGCCGTCCTACAGCAGTGCTCCGGTGCCTTGGCCCCCCCGCCCTCACCCTGCAGCGTGCCTCCCTCACAGCTGTCATCCATACCCACATCTTGACTGGTTCGTGAACGTGTCTACAACGCCTGTCCATACTTGTGTTGCATTGACAATTAAACTATTTTTGATCACTGTAGGGGCCACAGTCCAGAGCTGGTTGAGACCGGTTCTGATTCCGGGTACAGCGTGTCAGTTAACGTACCCCACTTCTCTCTTCCGCCAGCAGGGGCAGTGTCACAGGTGCAGTTTGGGGAAATGGAGTCAATTTCCTTCGCAGCGGACAGAAGTGCAATGCTGCCAGAGGAGTGCAGTGAGTTTCACACACTTAAAGTATATAAGATAAGATACGATAAACTTTATTTATCTCAAAATGGATAAATTCAAATGTCACGTTTGGCATAGACAGAATCACTCTTGTTGTGCAAAAAGACAGGAAGTATGCAAACATGTTAAAAAGGTGAAAAATATATATTTTTTGGGCAAGACATATTATGGACAAAAAGAAAAAGTCCTAGTGCAGGTCATTAAAGTGACATATTGTACAGTCCAACAGCGATGAAGATCCTGCTGTAGTGCTTCTTCTTGCGCTGGTCTGGTTTTATCATAAATCTATGATTATTTCTGAATAAAGTCATGCCTTTCATTCATCTTTGTCATCTCTATCTCACATCATCTGTGGAGTAGAGTTTTTGACACTGTTTCCATATGTAATACAATATTGCTACTCCGCTGTTACAAAAGTAACATATTTTTATAAATAGAGTAATCGATTACTTTTCTGTTGGAACATCACTTCAATCCTTCTCTCCAGACCAGGGGTGGGAAAAAAGCAAAGAGTCATTTTTTTCACAGCGTCTTGTTGGAGCTGTTTTGATGATGCGGTCATGCCCCCTCATGCACTAAGTAATTGTTTAATGTGTACAACAACAACACATGCTCTGAATACTTCAATGGTCTAACGTCTGCCAGAGACTGCTGTGACAGTCTACTGCGTGCCATGGATTGTGGACGATTCCATGTTGCTATGAAGGGTTTTCTGAGACATAAATCCTCTCTTCAGCCACTCCCTGCCATCTATCATTTATTGTGTGAAAGTTATTTGGACGAGTTCACCGCCACTCTGATCACATCCAGTGAGGTGCAGGTTAAGCCTGGCATGAGGAAGGAGCGGTGACGTATGAGTCAATAACTCACACTTAAGTGTGAAATTTGGCTTGGCTACACGCAGATCTGCCACTTTGATTGTATATGTCTTAGGCCCTGTTTAGGAGGAGCAAAACGACGAGCAAAACAAAAGCGACCAGGCTCCTGCGCAGCGTTTAGACGTCACCTGAACAATGTAGTTCTAGCGCCCGGCCAGTAGTGGGCAGTGGAACTTTACAACACAACCCCCAGCCCTCCCAGAAATATATTCACTTCCTTAACAACATCCTCCTCAGGCCATCGCAAAGACGTGAAAGAAAGAACCAGCATCATACTGCATTTTACAGCAGCTGCAAAAGTGGAAACTGAAACTAAAGCTTTGGGTGGTTTCATTTGGATGAACAAAGAAGTAGAATCCTCCTCCGTGTAATGCTCGAAGCACACGTAGCTAGTATGTGTACTCGCCGCCATTGTTGTTTACGCTTGTTCTCGGCTACTGCGCATGTCCAAATGTAAGCACGAGGAGGTGGTGAGGTCATAGCAGGCAGAAAATTCACCCTTTTTTCTTTACGTGGCTGTGAAACAGCCCTCGTCGAGCAGCATATCTGTTCTGTTCCCCTCTGGAGGCTGTTTCTCAACACTTGCATTTTCACTCTCTTTAAACACCGTATTAATGTAAATGGAAGGCCAAACCGATACCCAACTCTACTGTTTTATTGCCGCAGCGTCTCGGTCTTAATGGGGTCTTAAACTCGGGAAGAGGGCAGTGGGCAAACATGCAAAAACTACTGTCTATTGTTGCAGCCAGGTGTCAAGTGTAGTTTTTGTTATTTCTGGTTTGAGCCACTTGTATTGTCTCATAATATGCAAAACCTTTCCAACATAAAAGACAAATTCACCACACTCCATTACAGATGTTGATGTCACGACTAGAGCTCTCTCTGTTGTTTTAACCCCATTGACACCAGTGACTCTTCTGAGAGTTGGGTCATTAATGATGGAAATTTGAAAATTTGCAAAAAATCTGTATTTGTTTATATCATGGAAGGCCTTGGTGGTAGCTACCTCCATTGAGACGAGGTGATATCACAAGCATACATATTTCAATAACGGAGAAATGAAACAGCTGTGATTAAATAAAAACAGGATGATTAATTTTTTTTTGTAAAACATTCAAACCACAGCAGCAGCATCACCCCCTGCACTGGGGAGGGGAGGGGGTGGTCTCACAGCTCAGACGCATTGTCCAAATTTCTCCACTGTGAGATCAATAAAGTTTTTCTCATCTCAATCACTCCACATTTAAATGTTCAGGTCACTGTACGCAATAGGATTACATGTATGGCTTATGAGCCCAAACAGTGCCATACGACATAATGAAATGCAAATACAACAATGAAAATGACAGCATTATGTAACTCGAACTGAAAGCTCTAGATTCTTTGTTATGTGAAGAAATGTCACCAAGAAGTTTCATGTGTGATTCAAGTTTTGACACGTGTCATTTTCAACTGTCATTCAAAAGCAAATATATTGACCCATTAAAAAAGCAGTTGTGTGTAAGTTGATGACACACAATGAATATTTTTTCATTGCAGGAAGTGTTTTCATCACCTACTCATCCGATGCCTTCACCGACATTGTCCCATTTGCAGATTTTCTGAGCAAACACGGATTCCAACCCACCGTAAGAACATTTATTTATTTATTAATTTGAGCAACATACAATAATGTTTATAAAACAAAACTATAACGTTATTACAGGCGTATTTGCAGCTCAAAAGGAGTAGGTAGAAGTTCAAAGAACTTATGAGCATCGACCCTATATACAATCTGTACAATTTGTAACAATAGCAAATTCATGAAAGGCAGAAGAATTTGACATATATGCAAGCACAAACACACATATACAAATTTACAATAAGATAAATGAGTTTGTGTTCACATAGAGCGTAATGTGTTTATAAAATAGTTTGCTATCATAGTAATTCTAAAAGTTGTTAATGTGGACAAACAACACACAGTAGAATATGAAGTTGCATTTTTAACTGTTCATATTTCTGAAAAACAATATTCCTAAATGTAATGAGGCTTGTTGTGCGTTTTGGAATGTTATCTAGATTCCAGAACATCACGCCTCTCTTTGTGATGCAGTGACTCCTGAATCTTACGACAACACTGTACTTAAAGATGAAATGTCCCATGTAGATTGTATCCCGCCTCTCGATTAGCAAACATGTTCTAGATCTGCTCTGGAAGTTTGTTATGCTTCGACTTATAGACAATCATCAGAGTTAATGTTATTAGATTCTCAACTCTTAGGACACGCGATTTTAAGACAAATGTGTTTGTGTGTTCCCTACATCCAACATTGTGAATTATCCCAATCACTTTTTCAGAGTCTGCTTTGGTTTAGTAAATATCTACTCATGACTGCAATATTTGTTGCTAATTTTATAGCTCATATTGGCCCAGTGGATGGGCACTGGGACTCCTTCCTGAAGCGTCCTGAGCATCTATTATGTGCAAAACCTCTTATTCCAGTTGTGAATGTGCGTTATATTTATTTTCTCTGAAGGATCAGAGTTGTTTGTTGTGATGTTAGAGACTAGTTCATGTCCAATACTGACAAAGTGCTCATTAAATGTGTTCACCATATCCTCCAACTTTGACATTTCAATGCCATTTTTCATCATATAATTTGGGAGAGCAGTATTTTTGTCTATGTTGAAGACTTGATTTATAGTTGACCATAAGTTACAGTTTTTATTTATTTCACATGACTATAGTATTTTTTTTTCATGTTTTTAATAATATTTGTTACTTTGTTTTTATATTTGGTTTCTGACTCAGGTGTTCGTTTCATGATAACGTTGTTATTCTTGGGTTTTGATAATGCTGTTTCAACCACAGTTGAACCTGATGAAATCTCACACAACAAAGAGACAAAGTTAATCTTTTACTTGTTACATTGTACAAGGAGAATGTCTTGACAGAGGCAAGGCACAGACCCTAGCCTCTCTCAGGACAAGTCTGAAGATTCACAGTCTGTAAGCCCCTTTTGGTAGAACAAGACACATCTTCGTATGCAGATGGGAAAGGAAGAAACCAACACAACAAAAGGCACTTAGCATATGAGCTCCCCAGACCTCCCGGTGTCTTCCTGAAGCTAAAGTGAATTACAGTACAGAGCATTCAGCACATAGCCACATATGATTTACCAAAATGATAACTTAAGTTACATTCCAATATCAGGTTTCATAGGACTTTGGGGCAGTCACACGAATGACATACGTGGGACAGGACCAGTGGGGGCGGCTTCGGGGTCACTGCCCCGAGTGCACCGATCACCACGGACACTACTGTCACCTTTACCCTCCAGGCCCTCTCCAGCTCCTCTCTGAGACCTTGGTATTTCTCAAGCTTTTCATGTTCTTTTTTCCGGATGTTACCATCGCTTGGAATTGCCACGTCCACCACCACGGCTGTCCTCTGCCCTTTGTCCACCACCACGATGTCAGGTCGGTTCGCCATTACCATTCGGTCGGTCTGTATCTGGAAGTCCCACAGGATCTTCGCACGCTCATTCTCCAACACCTTTGGAGGAGTTTCCCACTTAGACCTTGGGGTTTCCAGCCCATACTCTCCACAGATGTTTCTGTACACTATGCCAGCCACTTGGTTATGGCGTTCCATGTAGGCCTTCCCTGCCAGCATCTTGCACCCTGCAGTTATGTGTTGGATTGTCTCAGGTGCCTCTTTGCACAACCGACACCTTGAGTCTTGTCTGGTGTGGTATATCTGGGCCTCTATCGCTCTGGTGCTCAGGGCCTGCTCCTGTGCAGCCATGATGAGTGCCTCTGTGCTGTCCTGTAGGCCAGATATATATATATACAGTAGTAGAAGAAGAAGCGCGGTCAAAATGCCATCTTTTTGTGCTGTGTGCGGTGTTGTTTTGAAATGTTTTTCATCCCTTCAGTGATATTCTTTATTTCCACTACCTCCTCCTCCATTGCACCATTGCTCCTCATTGATCTCATGTTAAACTACTCCGTTATAGCAGCAGCAGCAGTGTTAGCACAGGCCCAGCTCCTCACCACAGCTCACCGCACTTTTTTTGTTTGTCATGGCATTTTCTTCAAAATTGATCTTTTTGTACAAATAAGAAAGTGTTAACAAAGATTGACGTCAGGCCATCTTAATACTCTTTTTGCAGATTGACAAAGTAGACGGCTCTGTAGACTGCACAGACATCAACAGCCGCAGGGACGGGGCTCTAAAAGATGTAAGAAAACGCCTCCATTGCATCATTTTATTTAAATATAGTTGTATAATGTCCAAGTTATTTGTTCCACCAGAATTCCACTGTGATCATTATAGCTATCAGCCCCAAATACAAAGCTGATGTGGAAGGAATTGCAAAGGACAAGCAGGGTCTGCACACTAAATACATCCATTCTATGGTAACAGTAACAGTGCTATTCATGAAATGGCTTTAAAACTGTTTAAGGTAAAATTTCCAAATAAAAAATTGTAATTTCAGATGCAAAATGAATTCATACAACAAGGCAGCTTTAATTTCAGATTCATACCAGTTCTATTTCATCATGCATCCAAGGTAAGAATATTTTTGACTCTACTCCCCCCATGTAATATCCTTGCCATTGCAAGCCCAAACCCTTGTCCATCTCTGTACTCTGTTATATAGTTAATGTGTATTACATAGTCAGTAAATTGTGATAGTGATGGGTGTTTTCACCACTAAACTACCACTATTGTTGTGGTTATGGTTTTTGGTGTTATACCTCAGTTTATTTGTCAGTGGAAATGTACCTTGTGGCAAAGGAATGCCTCTGGATTCCCTGGATGAGCTGGAGGAAGTCAGAGAGTTCCTTCCCATTGCTGAATGCTCAGATCATGACTTTGATCATTGAGATACAGAACCATGTTTTGAGTTTGAGTTTTACTTGAAAGTTTACACACCCACATTTTGGCCATATTTTTCGCTCATTGTGTGGTTGTGGTTCTGGTTTTGTGAAGCCAATTATTCTCAACTATATTTTGAAATTACATTCACAACAGAAACTTCTCAAATTACCCTGATTAGAAGTTTCCATCCCCCAGTTCTCAATAGCGTGTGATTAGTATTGCCCCTATCCATGGCAGCTTGGAGTATTTTGGTGTGGTTGTGGGTGAGGTTCTTTATCCTCTCTCATGGTAAAGCTGTACATGATGTTTGCACCTTTTCCCCGATCTCCGCCCACTGCTCTGTGTTCATACAAACAGACTGACTGCTTTAACCTGCATGTTGTGCCTTTACCTGTCAGGAGCATGTGCCCGCTTGGCTGCATAACACCAAAGTCTACCACTGGCCACGCCACAGTCAGGACCTGTTACTACGACTTCTGCGGAGAGAGAGGCATGCCCCGCCCCCCGTCGCCAAAGAGATGGGTGTTGTCATCCAACCGATGCCCCTATGGGCTGCCCTGCCCGCACCACAGTGGCAATACCACTTCGACTCACACTGAAATGTCACTCTGCCTTCGGTGAAATGTTAGTGTTGAATAAACACATAAATCAAAACTATGTTTGACACGGGCCTAAATTACACTGAGGCCGTCTCTGCAGGGCTGCCTTTGATATTCACGTGAGTTTATGTACGACATGTCAGCTCAAGTCTAATTTTTTAATACATCAGAAATGACTGCGAGTGGATTCATTCTGGACTTACTGTATAGGTATTCAGTAATTTGTACAGTTTCTCCAAAATTAAAATACATGTTAACCAATAGCAAATGTGTCTTTTTTAAGAATATGAATGGTTGTCATAGGCTTAGAAAATGACTTATATGGCTTAGAATATGACTTATAAATGTACATAAGAGCTGTCAATGCACCATCTTGAAATACAGTGGTTGATAAGGGACAAAAAGGATGCGAGAATCACATTGTCGTTTCACAGTTGCCACTAATATCATCGCTTCCACTGTGACCTGACAACTTTGACGAAGGGATCATCTAAAAAATCTAGAAACTGGAAGACAGTTAAAAAAACTGGAGGCACATTGTGTAGTTATACAGCATGTGCAAATGTGAACAATATGGCAAGGCAAGGCAAGTTTATTTATATAGCACAATTCATACACAAGGCAATTCAAAGTGCTGAACAAAATAAGAAAGCATTAAAATCATAAATAACCACAGAACATTAAAAATAAAGATACAAATATAAAATCCCTCAGTTGTATGCACAGCTAAACAGAACCGTCTTTAACCTATGTAACTTTCTTCACACCAACAGTAACGAGAATGAGTCAGAATCTGCAAACGTGCCTCAGGAAGTCTTGACACGCTCCTACTCCAACTGTAATAAGTTTCAGCTAAACCTATTCAGGGGACAAGCTTCAAATATGCAAAACACACGGAACCCCCAGGTTTTTAACATGTCACGTCTGGAGATCTGGAGAATATAGACCCTATAGAGTCACAATATGGGATGAATAAAGGATCTCTTATCCTCTTGTTATCTTTGCTCATTATTTATTAATGGTCTAAAGATATAAAATGAAAAGGCTTTTGAAAATGTCTATTGCAATTCTCTTTTGTCCTGGTTCAGTTCAAACCTGTACAGTAGATTTCTCAGTTGTAGTTATTGTCGCTTGTCACTCATAGTTTCATCTACATTTCCATCACATCTTATAGTCGTCTTTCTATCCATTCTGTTGCAGGACATGGTTATGTTTTGCTTTCTCACAGAACCCTCTATGTGCCAAGTGCCAGCCTGTGCCCTAAACCAGCGGGAGGTACACAATCCTGTCATGGGACCCCACCCCTCCAACACCATAAAAGGTCTGTGCGAAAGGCCCCGACTAAGAATATCTGTGCAGGGAGATAGAGTTACCTCCTCAGCCCAGCAGACTTATCTGTGACCTATACCCATGCGAGGGACGGTCCCACTGCTGCTGCCCCCCACCCCTCCCTCCAGCTCGGAGCTTTTGACTTTCCCCCTTGCACCAGGCCTTTTGCCGAACCATCGCCAGACCCACCTCTGCCATGCTGCCCCTTTGGCAGCTCCAAATCCACCATAATTAACATAAAGGCAACAATCTCAGGAGAATTCTGGCGACAATCCGGAAGAAGAATTGGATTATAAGGGCCAGACCATGGAATTCAACCTAGATTAGATTGTATTACATTTTTAAAATTTGTGAATTGGAATCACTGAAGGTGACAGACCCAGTGTTCTACATGAGGAGGCTTCGGCTGCCTTTGCACAGACTATAACAACAACTATTGGACCATGGTCGAAGGTAGGACACTCACAGCTGTCATCAACACTCACAACATGTCAGAGTGTCATTTTGTTTTCATCAAGCAGAAAAGTGTTCCATTTGCATATTGTCACTGAACCTTGACTTGTCAGTTATAATTGAATGAATTACCCATGTTATTTGTTCATTGGCCTAATTACCCCTCTATTGCACTGATTAAAGCTATAGTGATGTGGCACCTCCTCAGTGTCACACAGTGTAAACTGTACAGGAACATTCTCCATGAAGGTGGAAATTACTTATGCGGTCATCAACACATCAACATTTCATTGGACATAAGAAAGAGACGGCCCACATTCCAGCAGACTTGTAGATGTACAATTCATACTAGTCATTTAATTTGTATTATTTATTCTAAACATAAAAAACTGCATAAAACAACAACAGAAATGTTGATCATATTTGGTAATCTTTGTTTTTATTGTGAGTTCTGTATTTTTAATTAACAATTATTTAGATATATATAGTGACATGGATCTCTTTTGCAAATCCTAGTTTTATGTAATAGTTTAAACAAAGACAGATGTTTGTTCTGCTTTTTACATTTTGCATAGAGACATTTACTGGAGTCTGTTGTCAAACTAGTTACCGAGAAACCTAACACGCCTGTCCCATCAAGGTATGAATGGTATTAAAGCAAGTAATGCTTCCTCATCACTCCCAGGGAGAATGTCCAACTGAAAATTCTCAACAATAGGCCTTTAGCCTATTATCTACACGGAGATGGAAAATGTATAGTATTTTGATGGACCGGGCCATGTTGTTGAGTGTGGCTATAAATACAAGTATCATGTATCAGAATATTAGTAGCTCATGTCTGCTAAGCTGGGACTGACGTCAAAGATGGCAACAACTTTTTTACTCCTTCTAACATGTAATTCAAATATGTTTAAACAGCTTAGTTTGAGTGACAAGTCTTAAATAATACTTCTTGAGTCAACTTGACGGTTGTTTTTGTGCTACTGCTACTGCTGCTGCCCTCTTCAGACCTACTGTACAGTATGGTGGATCAGCAAAGATCACAAATGCAATGACACACCTTCCTCCAAAACGCTTCCTGCATGTTGATTTGACATGTCATTGAATTTGTGAGGGAAAAATTATCTTTATTATACTATTGGGAATAGGTAAAAATACTCTTGCTCTAAAACAGATTGGTTCAGAACAGCTAGTTTTCAAAGAGATGGCTTTTTTGGTCTCTGACTTTTTGAAATGAAAGAGTGAAGGAGAGATAACCATCCTCACACAGCCAATCAGCTCTCAGCCCAAAGAGACATAACAATTTGATTTAAAAAAAACAATAGAGCTGTAGGTAACGACTGTGCACCTATTGCTTTGCTCTATATTCTTTATGGCTGCATCTCAACGGTCACATTTGTCCCTCTACTGAACAGAAATCTCTATTTCTATGGTCTGTCACGTTTGTCTACTACATGTGCTTCTTGAGTGGAAGTACAGAGAGACTCAGCTCTAAAGACTAGGTTTTCTAATAAGAAGATCACATGTTTGCTAAGCTTGTTCGATGGAGATGTACAACATATAGCAGTATGTAGCTTTGAACTGCATATACAGTACAGTAACATGTTTTCAGGTGGAATTACACACGTTTTGCATATTAGTTATTGTGTTAATCATTGTACACATATTGTTTTTTGTACACATGCATAATATACAGTCTTCTAGCTTTGGTATGCTAGCTTCTTCTCATCCCCCATTTTTAGTCCCGGTGACTTAAAAATGGGGGTGACAACTTAACATAGATGACAACTTGAATAGAGCAGGGGGCTCAATACACACCCCCGAGGGATGCTAGTGCTGAGGGCCACAGGAGTGGAGCTGTGGAGAACCACCACGACAATCTGCTGCCTGTCAGTGAGTAATCCAGGACCCATGCAGTGTACAGTGGGCAGCCTCGGAACAATCCGAGTAAACAATGAGCTTTAGACTGCTGTCCAGGAGGGAGGGTCCAGTGTATTCCATGGTTGCCTGATGTCAAGACATACAAACTGGAGGTCAAACTCAAACAATTAGCAACATCTCAAATATAAGGATGTAAACTGTTTAACCTGTCATCAGCATATTATGCAAAATCATCTTGTTGAGTTTTTAACCATGTTACATTCTGAAATACTTCATATTCTTTATACATGTGTGTCCATATATTCTATTCTAAATTATTTCACACATTAAAACAAGACATACTCTCATTATCCTGAAAGAATCTGAGAATGTATTTACTTTGCACCTTGAGATGAATTTGCATTGTCTGGAGGTAAACAAATGACTTGAGCATCTTGTGTACATCTTGTTTTTTTATATTTGATTTTGTATTTTTTATTTGTATTATTTTATTTTTGGGCAATTTGGAAACTGTGTTTATGAAATGTGCTATATAAATAAAGTGGATTGAAGTGGATTGGATTGTTTCATGAGTGGAACATTCCAGGCATGTTTATCAGTGCCCTTTAAACATGATATTATACAGTAGGCTTGGTTTCTCCAACATGCAAATGAACGGCTAAATGATATGTTATGCATGTGTGTGATGGATGATCATTCATCATGTCTGCATATAAATCAATTGTGGACGTGACATTTCAGGAATACATGTGGACGTGACATTTCAAACTTGTTTCATTTCCTCAGTTAGTTAAGCTGATCCTCCTGCAGGTGGTGAATCTACAGGAGGATAGCTGCTCTATGGTATAGCCTTGATCTTTCAGCAGGGGCTTCAGGAAAAGTGGGGTTAGGTGTCTTGCTCAAGGACACAACAACAGCAGACATCAGTGGGAGTCAGTGGAGAAGGCCTCATGGTGGGCTTCAACTCACAACATTCAGGCTCAAAGGCCAAGCTCTACCAATTGAGACACTGTCACCCCATTTATTTTCATATTTCATGGAAATGATGAAGTTAGTAAATGTTGTGCCCTTGTTAAATGAATGTGACCATAACCTGCACTCATGGTTCACAGTTAAGTTAATGTTCTGGATAGGTGGGAATAGCAGCAACGAGGCCCTCTCTACCCTATTGTATAGACAAGGACCAGATACAATATGTGCTATTGGCTTCAAGCTTCCACCAATCAATCAATCAATCAATCAATCAGTCAGTTCTGAAGACTGAAGCAGAGGACTTTGTTATCAAGTCTGGACATGAAGAATTGTTTTAAACACCAATGATATTGCATAGAATGGATCAAATACACACTAACATCCGGCTCTAATAAACCCCTTGCTTAAAAGGAAAGCATTACCTAATACTCAATCTGAGTTATCCGGTTTTCATGAGGGCTTTGTAAACATACAATCACATGTAGTCATGTCAGGTCCTTTTTAAAACACTGCTATATTCTCAGATCATGTTTCCCAATACTTGCTACTGTAGTTCACAATGCCATAACAGTCACTGCTATAAATAACAATGGTGAATGAACACACTTCTGCTCATGTGTCCTGGTTAAAGGGGCGCTCTGTGCGTCACATACAGACGAGTGGAAGCGCCTGTATTAACATGGATGGGACTGTAGCCTGTGTCCCATCCAAAGCCTGACTTTAGAGACCTGATAGGCCTCTCGTCATATCAATGTATTACTTATTATGGGTAGAACTATGTTGGTCTATTATATGATTAGTATGCTTTTTTTCTGAAAACTCAAAACATCACACCTAATTAAGTCACTTTGACTTAGTTTTTTGATAATTTAAGTCAAAGTGATCAATCTGTTGTCTTTTTATGGATTCCTGGCCCTGGTGACTAATCATTAAAACTCTGTATGTGTTGCATTGTTCACAGGAGCCCGAGCGGCGGCCTCCAGAGCCCATGGGTCAAACGGCTCGGTGCGGCCCCCGTCCCCCAGCGCGGCCCCCACACTGCGCTCTTGGGCCCTGGGGCTGCTCAACACCCTGCGGCTGTCTGTGGAGCTGCTGCTGGCCCTGGCGGCCCTGCTCTCCTGGATCACTGTGGGGGTGGTCATGTTTGACTTTGTGGAGTATAAAACTGTGCCTGGTATGTAAATATTCATGTATTCTCAAAGACAGATTTTGTGTTTTCACAACTGAAACTGAGTGTGAACATAAACATCAGGATCATATTTTGTTTTTTAGACATTCACCAAATTGTAAGTGACCCTGTACAAGCCGTAAATGACGCTGTTGATGAAGTGACCAGTCTCGTAAATAAATTCCAAGGTATGTTTAAATGTGCGCCACCATCCCTGCATTTCTACTTTTATTACTGATTTTTTAACGTACTGCAAACCTTCCTTTTCAGAATGTGCACCAGACTTAAGTGACCCAATGGCTGCGGCCACATATGCGGCTGAGGAAGTAACGCAAGCCAAAGATGGATTTGTACAATATTTTTCGGATGAGGAGGGTAAGGAGAACACTTTTTTCTTTATATAAAAAAAACAAAAACACACACACACACACACACCCACACACAGTCTGTACAGAAAACAATTGTGTTGGTCCACATGTTGATTTTTTATTACTGTAATGTATACTGTAAATTTCTCAATTGTGAGATCAATTAATGTTTATCTAATCTGTCTTATGTTGTGTGTCTCCAAAATAAAATACAAATACAACAGTTGTGGTAAATATGGTATTGGCTTCGTGCTAATAAGTTTTTTGTTTGAACTCGCAGGAATCTTCTATCTGAGTTACGTGGACCCTGTGGCGATTGGGCGACAAGCGTTCCACACCACAGATGAGTTCATGAGTGAGGTGGGGGACACTGTCCAGGGGAGCCTGTGTGCTGTGCTCGACTTCATAGTGGGCACGGCTCAGGACATACACAAAGGTGAGAACCGTCTAGACTCAACCTCTGTAAAAAAAGACAATTGAGATTTTTTTTTTTTTTAAACACATTTATCATGAGAGTCACTTACATCTACTGTCGTAAGATATTGTGAAATCTTGTGAAAAGCTAGTCTCTTAATAAGTATTGTTGGACCATTAAAGTTTTGAAATGCATTCATCCAAACAAGTAAGTAAGTAAGTAAATAATCTTTATTTATATACAGTACTGCCTTTCACAGACCAGAGTCACAAAGCGGTTTACAATTTGTTATGTTTTTATTTTTTTATACATGTTCTCCCAACTAATTTATCTGATTAGCGAAGAAAAGTTTGCCATTTTAGCACATACACACTGGGATTACATTCCTTTTTCTTCTTGTCTCTTACTGGATTGTTCTGGAAGGGGACCTCTAAACTATTGCTCTGATTGTATTCAGTGACTTTCAATTTTATTCAATTTATTCCTGTATAGTCCAAACTCACAACAGTAGTTTTTTTCTTGCCACTTTTATTGTACATAATATCTTGCACATTCTGTATATTTTGACCTTAATATGCCGCACATTTCTGTATTTTTTGCACAATCTGAGTGATTCTAATGCCAAATGTGACATGTAAATTTCTCCATTGTGAGATCAATTAAGTTTATCCTATCTCATCTTATCTTAGTTATCTCAGAGGACTTTACACAACTGTTGATTTTGCCAACACAGACCAGAGAATCAAACAGCTAAACACTGCCAACAACACTCTAAATGTGTTAAAATGTTATGCCTTCTCACTTACAGGAACACTAGACATAAGTTATTTAGACCCAGTGGTGGTGGGCCGAGGAGTCTTCACTACGGCTAATGACTCAATGTCTGGAATCATGGCTTACATCCAGGGGGCGCTCTGTTCCATTGTGGACTGTCTTCTGGATGTGGCCAAAGGTACAATCCTAATGAGCATTCTGTTGCACACTTTGGGGTAACTAGTATTTAAATCTTCGGTTTGTTTTGTTTTCTCAGGTACGACCGACATTAGCTTCATAGATCCTGTAGTGATTGGACGGAGTGCTTTCACTGTAACCAATGACGCCACAGATGGAGTCCTGGGCTACATTCAAGATAAGCTGTGTTTCGTCATCGACAGCATTCTGGACATCACCAAAGGTTGGTTTCACAAAATGATTATGTCTTTTTTATGTTTCAGCTAAATCATAAAATGTAACCTTCATTTAATTTTCTATATTGGTGATCTCCATTATTTGGGCACCTCTACTTATTGGATGTACAGGGCCAAGCAACTGGATGATACCAAACTAATGAGCTTGTTTGAAATGCAGCAGAACATTCAAAGCGAGTTAAAGGTGATATCTGAAACTTAATTCAAAAGAATTCAAACTGACCTGTTGAATATTCTATATTAATGGTATGTAGGAGGATTTTTTGCTCCCGGGTGGATCATCAAGACTATTTATTGGTCATCCTAATTGTCAATTGGCAATCGTTCTGGTGATATGTGACTAGAGGCTGTCAAGACATGTGTGGAGGGGGCGATTCTTTCCTTAAATTCAGGAAAATCCTCATATATACCTTTAAGAATTTTTCACAATAAATAAATTCAAAACAGTCCCTCACCTTGGAATAAACATCACCAGTAAGGTTTGAGGAGAACAGTTAGATGTGAGTTATAACGTCTCTCCATCTGCACTTGGACTATGACTAAATCGCTTTTTCTTTTCACAGGAACCACCGACGTAAGCTTCATGGATCCTGTGGTCATTGGAAGAAGTGTCTTCAGCACCGCTAATGATTTTATGAGTGGAATAGCTGCACACATCCAGGGTTGGCTTTGCTCAGTCCTGGATGTTATTCTGGACACTGTTGGAGGTCAGTAGTAACACTAAATCTCACAGTAAAACTAGTTGTAATAGTAACAGATTGAGAAACTGGGATTGTCTTTAACAAAAAAATTATTTTCTATAAAACACCGACAAGTGTGAACACGCATTGGAATAAATTAAACTCCCATTTCCATCCATTTTCTACCCTTTAATCCATTTCTGGGTCAGGGGGGAGTCCACAGGAGGACGGCTGCTCTCTGACTGTGAGCAGAGCCTTGATCTTTCAGTGGGGGCTTTGGGCAAAGTGGGGTTAAGTGTCTTGCCCAAGGACACAACGACAGCAGTCATCAGTGGGAGTCGGTGGAGAAGGTGCAGAGGTGGGAATTGAACCCACGACCTTCTGGCCTTAAGGCCAATGCTCTACCAACTGAGCTACTGTCGCCCTTTAAACTCCCAATATTCAGCAATCAGACATGCCTCAGTCTACATGTATCTATAGCATGTTTTATAGTGATAGATATTGAGTATTCTCTTTTGTGCCCAGGTGTGATGGAAGCTGTAGGATTCAGCCCTTTGTCAGTTCTGAAGACAACTGCGGACGTCACCAAAGAACAAGTGAACATGCTCACCGACTACATCTCCACAAATGTCGTGGGCGAACAAGGTACTATATGTTCCACCCAAATAGTAACTACTCAAAGTAACATCAAATTAGATATTGTTTTTGCACCAAATACCATAACACCAAATAAATATTCATATGTGTTTTTGATGCCAGGGATTCTGCCTGAGGTCTCTGTGGAGCCCATGAAGGTGGTTGAAGACGTCGTGTTAGAAGCCTCCGAAACCAAAGACGCTTTTGTGGCTTACATGTCCAGCATGTTTGTTGGCGAACAAGGTATCCACATACATGGACACTTCTGCAGAATCCAGTTTAAGAAACCAAAGAAATTAGGGGTAGAAATAGGTCTTGCAATTTGAAAAATACATAAACCTTTAACAATTACTTTTGTGAACACAGCGCAGGAACCAGCGGAAAAGCAAGAAAAACAGACACCCACCGAAGATGAAAAGGTGGAGGAAACTACAATCACTGAGGAAGAGAAGGAGAAAGAGGAGGCGACAACTGAAGCTGAGGAAGAAGAGGAGGAAGAGGAAACAACAACTGAAGCTGAAGAAGAAGAGGCTGAGAAGGATGAAGCTGAAATAACTTCTGAGGACGAGGAGGAGGAAGAAACCCTCAAAGAAGAAAAGGCGGATGAAATAACAACCGCTGATGAAGACGAGCAGGAGATAGCCAAAGAAGAGGAGGAAGAGGATGAGGAGGAAATAACATCTTTAGAGGAGGACGAGGAAGACAAAGCAGATGCAGAGGAGGAAGAGGACGCAGATGACGCAACTGTGGACGAGGAGGAAGAAGAAACAATAACATCGGAAGCAGAGGAGGAGGAAGCTAAAGCAGATGCAGAGGAGAAAAAGGAGGAGGAAGAAGATGCTGCACCTGTTGACGAAGAAGAAGAAGAAGAGAAAATAACATTTGAAGAGGAGCAGGAGGAGGACGAAGCAGATGCAGAGGAGGACGAGGAAGAGGAAGCTGCACCCGCGGTCGAGGATGAAGAAGATACTATAACATCTGAAGAGGAGGAAGACAAAGCAGATGCTGACGAAGAGGAGGAGGAGACAGCTGAAGCCACATCTGAGGAGGAAGAAGAAATGACAACATCTGAGAACGAGACGGAGGCTGCACTTGTGGAGGAAGGGGTGGAGGATGAGGAAGATGCTGTTCCCGAAGCTGAGATAGAAGGAAAATCACCTGTGGAGGAAGAGGAGACCGACGAGGAGGCACGAAGGGCTGACATCATTGAACTGTCACTAGTGAAGGAGGAAGAGGATGTAGCAACTGGAGAAGATGAGGAGACAGTGATGGCCGACACAGTGAAACCCTTGACAGCTGAGGAGGAAGAAGACGAAGAGACAGGAGAGGCTGGCACTGTAGAGTCATCACCAGTGGAGGAGGAGGGCGAGGAGGAACCGGGGGCTGAGGATTTGGATGAGGAAGAGGAGAAAGAGATTGGAGAACTGACTGCAGGAGAAGAAGAAGAAGAAGAAGCTGAAGTGACAGTGGAACATGTTTCAGATGTGAAGCCGCAGAACATCAGTGCCCAGGATGAAGAGGAAGAGGAAGAAGCAGCTCCGGTCCTCAACGGAGCAGTAGAGCATGAGGACTTCTCGGACACAGTTGACGATCATGACGAGAATAATAACAACAGCGAAAAACTCAAGTCTGAACCAGGGAGGAAGAGTAGGATGCACATCCCCTTCCACAGGCGACGTAGAGAGGCTCGCAAGGAGAAACACTTAGAGGGTCGACTCGATGAAGGTACAGAGGATTGCATGATTTTTGTTTGGCAGTTAAGTTTGACAGTGCCAGGTATGCCTTGGAATGCCCATAGTTTTTTACGCAATTTACGCAAATTAGTTTTCGGCCCTGATGGATACACAGGTTTGAAAATGAAAAGTTACCAAAATAAAACCTTGACATAGGAGCCATACTTTAATTCTCTGATTGTGAGTGATTTGATTTTGGCTACTGAGAGAAGGCATACGACAATGAAAGTGTGACAACTCTACTGTGCTGTTATTATACATCAATGAATAAAAAAAAAAATTGAACAAAACAAAGTTGGATCAACATAGACTTTTTCATTATCCCTTAACTTACAATGTATAAATTGCACCATTGTCCTTATCACGTTTCTCATTTGACTATGTTTCAGATAAGGAGTTAGAGGTCTCTGAAGACAAACCTGAATCTTTGCTGAAAAGGAAGAAAGAAGCTAAGCCAAAGGGTAAATTAGAAGACAAACCATCCAAGAAAGGTCTCAAAGAAAAGAAAGCCAAAAAAGACCTCACTGAAAAGGACAAGGAGGCCACAAAAGTGACACCCCAAAGTCCTGAGGAACCCAAAGAACATCTACCTACGGAAACAAAAGTCAAGAAAGAGGAATCCTCAAAAGATGAGCGAGAAAAGGAGGACAAGAAATTGTCTCAAAAAATCAAACTAATATGGAGACTATTGAAAGACAAGAAACAACCTAAAAAAGAGAAAGAGGAAAAGAAGCCCTCTAAAGCCAAGGAGGGGAAAAAAGAGGATGTCCAGATTCCCAAAGAAGAAAAACTAACAAAGGAACCATCTGAGGAGAGGAGGGTTAAGAAGGCTGCCAAAGAAGAGGGGGAGCTTCTTAAAAAAGTTGAAAAACCAATAATCCCAACAGAAGAAAAGGAGGACAAATTGGAAAAAGAAATATCAGAAGACAAAACTGAGAAAAAGAAGCATCAGAAAGAAGACAAATTAGTCACCAAAGTAAAAAAAGAAAAGGCAGAAAAGAAGGCACCCAAAGTGGAGGCCCAGGTCAAAGTTTTGAAAGAACCAGAAGAACACCCAAAAGAACACAAGGAAAAGGAGAAGGCAAAGAAACCAAAAACTGAAAAGGAGGAAAAATCAAAGGCTCTAAGTAAAGAAAAAGATGAGACAGAAGCTCTTGAAAAAGAGTCAAAAAAGACTAAGAAGCCCAAACAAGAAAATAAATCTATAAAAGAGAAAAGGGTACAAAAAAGGATTCTAAAAGAGTTCAAAAACATAACAGCTCCTGCAGAAGAAGTGCTGCTGGATGAGAAGAAGAAGGACAAGAAGCTTCCAAAGGCAAAAGAACAAACAGTTGCGGAGGAGATAAAACTTGTCAAAGAAAAGCCCAAAGAGTCTCTCAAGGCAAAAGAACTGGACAAGAAGCCTCCTAAAGAGGAAATCCATCTTGCAACAGCTAAAGGAAAAGAACCTCCCACAAAAGTGACAAAGACATCTAAAGAAAAGCAGGAGAAAGACATCAAAGTATCCAAAGATAAAGGACCACAAGAGAAATCTGAAAAAGAAACACCAAAAGGGCGCACCAAAGAATCAAAGATTCCAAAGGTGAAGGCTTTAAAAGAGAAACTGTCTTTAGATAAGGAAGAAATCACACCTGCCAAAGTCAAAGATAAGGCACCAGAGGACAAGAAAGAAGTCCCGGAGGTTCCTACGGTGAAAGAGACAAGGCCTCAAGACATTAAGCCACAGAAAATGAAACCAAAAGAAAGGAAAGAAACCAAAGAGGTCAAAAAGATTTCCAAAGAAGATATGAAAACAGCCAAAGAGAAATCAGAGGAACCAAAGAAAAAGGTTAAGGAGGAACTTCTCAAAGACATCGAACTGAAAAAGGAGACCAAAGAAAAGATTAAAGCAAAGGAAGAAGCACCTAAAAATATCTCCCAAGATCAAAAGCAATCCAAAGAACCGAAACCCGACAAGGAGAAACCCAAAGAGAAGACTAAAGTTGAGGAGTCTCCTGAAGTTCAAAAAGTTCAAAAAGAAGATATCAAGAAACCGAAAGAAAAGAAATTCCTTCATAAACATAAAAAGATAGATGAGGAGAAACCCAAACTGAAGAAAACCGAGGAATCTCTCAAACTTGAAGAGAAAGAACTTTTTAAAAATGTTACAGAGGAAATCAAAGAGAAGAAAGTTCTTCTCAAGCAAAAGAAGATAGAAAAGGAAAAACCCAAGGAGGATAAAGAACCTCCCAATTATATCAAAGACAAATCCAAGAAACCTCAAGAGAAGGATGAGCTGAAAAAGGACACTCCAAAAGAAGTTGAAATAACAACCAAAGTCAAGAAGGAAACCAAGGATCAACTTGAAAAGAAACCAGTGGCAGAAAAGAAGGAGGTGAAGGTTTCTGAAGACAAGAAAGAGAAATCCAAAGATGAGGTAAAGAAACCCAAAGAAACAAAGGAGGTAAAGAAAGACCCAAAAGATAAAAAGGACCAAGAAATTCCAAAAGAGAAAGACATGAAACCTGCAAAAATGGATAAGCCTGAAAAACCACCAGTTGACAAAAAGGAGTTGGAGGTTCCTAAAGACAAAAAAGACACGGAATCTACCAAAGATGTCAAAAAAGAAAAAGAGAAGCCAAAAGAAGCAAAAGATATCAAGAAAGCCCCAAAAGATAAAAAGGATAAAGAGCTTCCAAAAGAGAAAGCCATTAAACCTGCAAAAGTAGATAAGCCTGAAGAGCTACCAGTTTACAAAAAGGAGTTGAAGATTCTTAAAGACAAGGCAGATAAGGAACCTACTAAAGATGCGCAGAAAGAAAAAGAGAAACCAAAAGAAGCAAAAGAGGTAAAGAAAGCCCCCAAAGATAAAAAGGACAAAGAGCTTCTAAAAGAGAAAGACCTCAAACCAGAAAAAATGGATAAGCCCAAAAAGCAACCAGTTGACAAAAAGGAGTTGGAGGTTCCTAAAGACAAGAAAGATAAGGAACCTACTAAAGAAGCCAAGAAAGCCCCCAAAGACCAAAAGGACAAAGAACTTCCAAAAGAAGAGAAAGAAATCAAACCCACCAAAGACGACAAAGTAGAAAAAAAGAAACCTAAAGATACAAAAGAGGTAAAGAAAGCACCCAAAGACCAAAAGGACAAAGAACTCCCAAAAGAAGAGAAAGAAATCCAACCTGGCAAAATAGAAACAATTGAAAAGGAACCCACCAAAGACACCAAAGAAGAAAAAAAGAAACTCAAAGAAACGAAAGAGGTAAAGAAAGCCCTCAAAGATAAAAAGGACAAAGATCACCCAGAAGAAGAGAAAGAAATAAGACCTGCAAAGATAGAAAAGATTTCCGAAAAGAAACCAGTTGACAAAAAGGAGGTGAAGATTCCTGAAGTCAAGAAAGAGAAGCAACTTACCAAAGATGTCAACGAAGAAAAGGTAAAACCCAAAGAGAAGAAACGGGTGGAAAAACCTGAAGATGAGATTAAACCAATCAAAGAAGAGAAAGAAAAGAAACCAAAGCTTCTCAAAGAGAAAGAAGAACCAAAACATCCAATAGAGGACAAAATTCCTAAAAAGGAAAAGATTGAAAAGAAGGAACCTCCGAAAGCAGAGAAAGAAGATAAGAAACCTCCAAAAGAAGACCTTCTGAAAGCTGACAAGGAGAAGAAACCCAAAGAGAAAGACATCCCCAAAGAATCTCATAAAGAGGAGAAGAAGAAAATCAAGGAATTGGAAACTCCCAAAGTTAAGCCTGTGGAAGAAGTGGTGATGAAACTGCCAAAAGAAAAGAAGGAAACGTCTAAAGAGAAAGAAGAAATTTCAGCAGAAGTTAAAGAGGTCCTCAAAGACAAGAAAGAGAAAAAAGCAGTGAAGGTCAGTCCACCTACTGAAGAAAAACTCAAGAAGCCTTCCATAGACAAAGTAGAATTACCAAAAGAAGAGGAGAAACTGCCCAAGGAAAAGAAGGCAGCCGTTCCATCACCCAAAGAAGAGAAAGAAGTGAAGAAACCTGTCAAGGAAACTGAAAAAGTCAAACAAGCGGAAGAAGGCACGGAGTCCAAAAAGACTGAAGGTAGATTTCTGTTTCAGGAGAAGTTTACAAGAAGTTCCCTTTAAAAATGTTGGGTTTTTTTGCAGACGTTTCAAAGCGGAGGATAGTGCGCAAGATTCAGGTAGTGAAGAAGGAGGTTGCATCTGTGATGAAGAAGGAACACCTAAACGTCACAAAAACAGGTTGGACCAAGAAGAATGTAGCTATGGATTAATTAATAGGGTATAGAATAGAGCACACTTTTTGTGAAGAAGCAATTTGTCTCAGAAGCTCTTGTTTGAAATAATTCTCAGCCTTAATTTTGTGCCAATTGGTTCTGGCAGCCCAAAATGTCATCCCATATATACATATATACAGTATATTATATGTGGGTCCAAAAAACCCTGCCTACCCAGCCAAATGTGTATGTTTTTTGTTTTGTTGCAGAAATCAAATCTCCAAAAGATCAACTTAAAGCTGTCCCAGTGAAACCAGGTAGGCTATGTTTATTTCGCCCTTTCTACCCTAGCCTGGCCTTAGCCATCCATACACTCTGGTCAATCATCATTTCCCTGCATGTAACGTCTGGGTCTGGTCCTTGTGTTTGCGATTACAATCGGGTGAATTCCATCCGACTAATCAGCAAGCGCAGGAGGCGGGTGTTGTAGTTAGTTGTGGGTGATGTCAAGAGTTTGGGCGGGTTGTAGTTTGGCAATGGCGAAGAATGCGATAGTAAAGTAATCCGGTCTGGTTCTATCAAGAAATTGAAGCCGGAGCAAGACGAATCTTTAGCAAATTAAATCTCTGGCAAAGATTGTGACGCTACTCCCCACGGGCTTGTGGCTACCGGATTCGTCCCGGAAACCGGAAGTTTTAGGTGTCTAAGTAAGATGGTTAAGGTTAGGGTTAAGGGTGGGTTGGGGTTATTTTGTGGGAATGGCTGGTTAAGTTTAGGCATGAACCAGGACGAATCCGGCAGCGACACCCTCTAAATGCTAACGACTCACTCGAGCGCATTACATACATCACGGTAAACTCAGATCCAATCGTTTCAATGTGCAAAAGGAGTTAACCCCTCCCACCTGTAAACAGAGCTCAATGGAGCACATGCAGACCTTAGTACGAAATGTAGTTTGTACTATGGAGTGGTACGATCAGGCTACATCTCTCCTATACTTGTGTTTTTAATATTATCCTTCCCTCCTAAGAATCTGTTTCCAAAAAGATCAAACTACAGATCCCTGTAGTTAAAGGTACATGACACAACTAGAAAATGCTGTATATCAAATTCAAACCATAAGTTAATGTTTGCATTTATTTTTACAGAAACAGAATCTCCCGCCAAAAACGCATCCCTGACGAAAGAAAAAGTGAAGCTACAGCCCATGAAGATGAGTAAGTTTAATTTGTTATTTTGTGTTAATTAAGTGTTTAATCAAGTACTAACTTTTAACACATAATTTTCTTTCACTGCAGAAGCTGATATCACACCTGCGCCCATCAGGAAAGGTGAAGTAAAATACAATTATTGATGAAAAACTAGTGTTCAAACAGACAGATTCCATATATGTTTTGAAATTCTAAAATATTCTAAAAATGCAAACTAAACATGAACTGCCTTTCTCTCTGATGGCTGAATAGTGCTAAGGGGACAGCCCCGGCCGGTCCGTTTACGGAAAGGTACCAGACTGCAGAGCTAATCATTTGTGTATTAGCTGCATTAAAACTGAAATCGGAATGGCTTCAAAAACACTGCTGCTTCAACTGTTAAAGGGGACATATTGTGCATTTAAAAGTATTTTAGTTTGAGCTGTTGTCACACCTGTATTTATTCTCTATATTTCTCTTTATTGTATCCATTCTCCTCCCTCCCAGAAACAACATGTCTTTTGATTCTTTGACTTTTCAGCAATTGCAATTTAAATTCAAATCTCTTCTCTCTATTTACTTTTTATCTGTCCAGTTTGGAATAAATCAGTTAAAAAACCTTATACCTGAAGTGCTACTAGATTTCATTTTGCAGATAATGTGTTATATCTCTCCTCATTAAGTGCAATTCAGCATAAGCTTTTGTACAATTTATCGAATGGATTAATTCAAGTAAAAAAAAAAAGTTTATATCATATTTGACTTCTTTTGAACAAATTTGGTTATTGTTGATTAAAAATATAATGGAAGGATGTCCATGATATTTATGTTTACAATTTTCAAGCAGATTATCCAATCAGAGAGCAGAATAAATATCTTGTTTAGTTTTTCAGCTTGTTAGGTGAAATGTAGATTTTTTTCACCACAAAAAAACAGAACCACACATTTATAAATGAAAACAAATAGTTCTCATAGGTAGTACACTAAGTTTGCATTGTTTCTAACTAAACCCTAGCAGGTGGTCTGCACCAGTAATCAGTGCTCAGAAGCCACATGAGGCACAGGCAGGAAGATTCTGCCAATATAAGTGGGATTGTAATTGACATTTTATTGTATTTTATTAGACCACTAAGAGTGTCTATTACTTTTGAACCCTTTAAGATTATAGTGTTTAAAATATATAATGATCCACCCTCAATCAAAAATGAACTAGAGCAAACTAGAGCACAATACGTCTTCTTTAAGTACCGTACTTTCTGGACTATTTACAAGCTGCACCAGCAACATTTTAAAAGAAAGTACATTTTGTCCACTCTTTTATGTGTTCATGTTGTAATGTAGTAGATAGATGATACTGTATATTTAACTGCTCACACTATGCTTTAATGACGAGTTGTTAACATCTTAACAGTTCGTATTCACCAGTCTACTAAACTCAGCTCTGACGACAGCCCAACTCTATCACATAGAAAATACACATACTTGCCACATCGCTAAACAAGTCGCAGGGTTCAAAGGACTAGGAAAAAGTAGTGTCTTATAGTCTGGAAATTACGGTAATTGAAAAAGAAGTCCCTCTGAACAGGACATATACGCAACTTTCTTTTTCAAACGATGCTCATTAACTTTAATAATACTAGTGCTGAGATTTCTAATATCTTTGTGTTCCATCTGACACTTATTATTCTCTTACAGAAGTGGAAGCTCTTCAGGAGAAAGAAAAATCTCCAGTTAAGAAAGGTAATGGAATCCTCTGTCGCCTGAAGCAATGACACATAACGAATGACTGTGGCACATTTTCTTGTCTAGACTCTAGACTCAACTCACCGCATTTATTTGGCATTTAAAATATGTTTTACTTTCATTGCCATTAATTTACAATATACAATCTTGTAATCTAACCTAATGAAATGTTTATTGAACATAGACAACATTATTTATCTATATTTTTGAACACATTATATATATATAATATGTAAATACGTATCACATATGTGTGCTGCATGTTATTGGCTTTTCTTTGTTCTTTTGGTTGTTCTTTTCACCGATAAAAACCCATGTCCCCTGTCCCCTCCAACCCATTTGTCCTTCTTGTGAACTCCAAGTCCAGAGTGACCTATATCACTTGTTGTACATAGATAATCCCAAATACCCATAGGTTTAAGACTGTTGAGAAATTAGAAAGAAAGTAGTCAGCAATATGCCATCTGTGGTGTGCAGTAGTTATAAAAATAACTCATGAGTATCCTGAAAAATAAAAAGAATATTGAAATGCATATATCAAACTAGTCGTACTAAGTGCAACGACAAAAAACTTTAATAATCTAATAAACCATGAAACATTTTTAGGAAGAAATACTTTTGAGATGTATTAGATTGTTTTCAATCCAATACATCCCATTTCATTTGAAATGATTTTTGAACATATATCGAATTATGTATATGGAAAAATTCATCACAATCGCAATGTTTGGCAGAAATACCAGAAATACATATTTTGTTAAGCTCTATTAGACATTTGTAGTGTCTAATAGAGCCCCCCCCCCCCCCCCCCCAAAAAATAAGTCCATATGAAAAATATATGCCTGTAACCTACTCTTTTGTTCAGTCTAATCCTACATGTCCATCTGCCACAATGAGGTCACCATTATCACTGTGCTGTCTCTAAACGACTCGCTCTGATGATTTCATTCTATTGTGTTCTTAACTGTGCTATTTTCTCACTGTGATTACATTTTTTAGATCGTGTGAAACGTCTATTAGCTGATCTGAAACGAGGTACAGTTTTCATTCATAGCAGCAGCAGCATTAGCAGTAGGACGATCTGTAGAAGCAATGGTGCACGCTAGTGGCTTATAGTAGTACTGCAGTATGCTTTCTCGTACTAAAGGCTTGTGACGTTACATTTAATGAAATCTAATACAAATAATTGTGTGGAAAAGCTTTAGAGTGTGTCCTGAGATTGTTGCTGATAAAGCTTAATACTGTGTTGTTGTTGTTTTTACAGAAAAACTAATAGATAAAAAGAAAGCGCAGTTTAAAGGTAGGTTATATTGACTGTTACTGAAGAGTGCGCATGTTTCTATGATTCATTGTGCATTTTTTTAATTAAAAAAAATATGATGATTCATGGATTTATGGTGGTTGTTTTGTTGTATTGCTGGAGATATGACACAGCAGAACTGGGCGTGGTGGTGCAATATGCTTGGGGATAAAAACGGTTTGATTCCAGTGTGTACAAGAAAAAACAAACTTTTCATAGAGACAAGAAAATAGAAGGCTACTCTCTTTTTCCAATGAGCGAAAAAATAGATGAAACAATGTGATATAATCCAGTTCCTCGCTATGAGAGTGTGGAACCAGGTTATAATAAATGTTCTTGTCTATATGGAAAGCAGTCACATCTTTAGATCACATTTTTCAGACAGGAAAGTGAACAAAACTTACACCCTAACTCAGCCAATCAAATAGTGACCTGTATTTTCTAATAAGATGAAGACAACATGACGAAAAGAGGCTGCATCATCAAACGTACAAGGACAAAGCCATTGGACACACTTTCATTTGGTCACATATTCTTATCTCGTTGGATTCAAATCTTACAGAATAACATTTGTGTGGATCACAAAAACAGTGTAGACATTTTTAATGTTACTATAGACAGAAACTATTGTAGCTGAAAAGGGTGATTTTGAATAGAATATCTAGATTTATCCAGAGACACATTTCCAGTAACCATCACTCCAGTGTTCTTATGCTCCAGTGCAGCCATTCCCAAACTCAGTAACACCGAGGCCCCCTTAAAAATCTGACGGGTCTGCGTGGCCCCCCAAAATAATATCCAAGAAGACAACATTAAGAATAGGCTCTTCTGGTTATTTTATTTTGGGGAAATAGCCTCTGCTACAAACATTGTAATACAAAAATGATTACAGAGGATTATTCAAGTCAAATAATGAACACAAATATTTTAATATTACAAACAAAACATTATAAATTTAACATTAAATAAGTATATTATTTTTTTTATGACCTCCCGCGGCCCCCCTGCAGTACCCTCGCGGCCCACCAGGGGGCCGCGGACCCCACTTTGGGAGACACTGCTCCAGTGTAACAAAAGACTAATTGATGATTAGAAAAGCCTTGTGCAAGAGTGTTCAAACCCTGAGATTTCATTCAAAGCATACAATTCTCTGATTGTCCCCAAAGTCTTGAAATGCAGAGTTTATGAAACAGGATCTTGTTGGTTCAAAAGTCTGATAATCTGATATTGCATTTATTTACTAATTCTTACATTTTGTTTCATACAGAAGAAAAGGCTCTCAAAGACAAAGCTGAGGCTGCAAAGAGAGCGCCCAAAGAAGTACCAAAAGGTGCTGCACTTTTACCACTACTTTGGCTTAGTATGATGTGTATGAATGATTAAACTTATGGTGTTTCCTTGTTTTCTTTCGGCTCCAGCTGCAGAGAGCGTCACGGTAGATGGTGAGTATAGATGGTCCTTCCTCATCTCAGTGGATAGGGCGGGGTTGTGTGTACATCCATAAATCTGCCATCTATGTCAAACTATTAGAAATATATCTGTCAAACTATTAGAAATATATCTGTCAAACTAAATAACTATAATTATTTATAATGGTATCTGTCCCACCAAAGTAAAAGCTACTATTGGAGCTGGGTAACTTTCAAAACACACAAAATAAAACAATTTAATAAGATCCATCTAACTGTATGTTACTTACCTCTCAAAAAAGGGATAGAAACAAAACAGTTATACCACTAGTTTTCACATGTATATATTTTGGGGTCCCTGTCCTTTTTCAGACAGATAAGAGAAAAAGAAAGGACCACCCTCACTCAGCCAATCAGCTCACACCCCAAATGGTTAATTAAATCATAGAGCTTATTCTGTATGCAAAGACAAAACATTTTTAATGAGAGGAAAACAGCATGTTGTGGTCTGATCGGGGTCAGAAGACTTACTTGGAATAAACATTTTGTATTAAGTTAGTTACCCCACCTCCAGCTCAACCAGTTTCAGTGTACACTATTTACCATATTTCTGCTGACAATAACTAATGATTTATCAAATTGGAGTGATCATCAAGACTTGAGGGTCTATGGCTGAATAATTGCCAAAATGCCACCTCTGTGATTGGTGTAACTGTGCTGGTGACTCTTAACACTTTTGTCCCGTCTGTAGAAGAACTGCCCTACTTCCAGTGCTTCTTTGTGGACGAGGACGAGGCCCAGTTCCCCTTCTACTCCTTCTCCCCGCTAGTGTTCTGAGCAGCCATGGAGGAAAGCGTGCAACTGCAGCAGAAGAAGAAAAGGCGCAGGGGACTGGAGCGGCCTGGGATGAACCCTGCCTCTGCCGTCCATAGTTTGGTTGAGCTCCCAGCCGCGTACAAGCAGCCAGTGTCGTTCCCCTTCCCACTGTCCGAATGAGATGCCGTGACTTCTATGGGACAAGTGCAATACATTACCTTGTTACACTCATCTTGAATATACCAGCATTGTCTTGTCACTTTTATTTTACAATTATCACTGTTGCAATCACAATTTCAGTTACTGCTCTAATCCATCGCAAAAAAAAAAAAACAATGAAAGCTCTTTGTACTGAATATGAGCTTGCACGACTTGCGAAACCTAAAACTTTCAAGATTGGAGTGTTTTGAATACCACAGAATACATAAATCATTCTTTAAAGGCTGCAGTAATTCTTATTGACACCATGTTTAGCACCTTTTCTTGTCTACACAGGCACGCAAAGAGAGATACTGGTTAAATCTAACAGTATAGAAGTGACTATAATATTTGCTATGATATATTTATTTAATTGTGTGTCCAAGGGAACGACCAGGCAGTGTAACCTCAAGCTCCCAAACAGACTACCTTGACAAGTCTTACGCACGCGCAAAGCCTCCGCGTTGGGGCTGCGTTGCTGAGTCGAATCATTCATTGTGTTTTATTGAGTTACTTGGAAACATTGTGGCGTAATGTAGAATGCCGCCTCTCTGCTGGCATTCTAATGTGCGCCTTTGTGTCCGCACTGACGGGCCCAGAATGTGTTTTCAAAGCTGGGGAGTTTAAAACAGTGCTGGATTTGTGATGCGTTTTAGTATGGAAAAAAAAGAGTAAAACTATGTGGACCAATGTCAGAGGGTGTGTACATGCCCCTCAGCTCGTCCAATAGTCGAATTATGAATTTATACAAGTTCATTATCTATCCTTTAACAGCGCAAGCACAAACTGTATATTTTATTTTTTTAATTATCATTTGAACTGATTTTTTTCTCTCAATGTGTGTTTTATTTAATTAGAGGACGTATGTGCAATAGCCTGCAGCAGACTTTTATTAGTTATAGAGTTATTTTCTCTTGTAATTTACACACTTGTTTTTAGGGCAATTCTGTAGACTCCTCCGACCACTCCAACACGCCCAGATTTTACTTTCTTTTCTTGTCAAAACCTGTGCTGTACGTTGATGACTCCGCAGCGTAGTTCAGGCTTTACTGCTTGAAGGGAAAGCACTGCTGATCGCTGACTTCACCGATTAAGCATGTCATGTCTTCTTTAAGCAGTTATTGCCAGTAGAAACCCGGTCTGTGGTGGGGATTGCTCACCAAATACATTGTACAGAGAAAGCAGTTTTTTCACTGACCATCTCGTCACAAATTGTCATTTATTTTTTAGGAAATTACCGCTGCCCACAGTTTGAGGTGTTAGATATTTTTAACCATATGATTGTGTGATTGGCCCTCACGTTTTTATGTTTATATTTGTGAACTACTGATAGCAAAACAAGGTCAAAGTCATCTGAGTCTGCAATATAACCATGTTGTTGTATTCTATCAGTGAGACCTGGTACTGTATGTTTGAGTGCATGACTGAGTGAAGTGAATAAAATATGTCACACAATTCTCTTAAATTCTCTCAAACCATCCAATCATCCAATCCAATCAACTTTATTCATATAGCAGCATAAACACAGATTCAAAAGTGATGCACAATAAAATACTTATTTAAAACAAATCCATATTAAAACAGTAAAATTATTAAAAAATCAAATAGGAAAAACCGTGTGTGCTTATATGTCTAAATATAAAAGCCGTATCTGTTCAATTTGATTATTTCATTATTAATTATGGTCTATTATTTATTATTTATTTGTTTGAGTATTTATAGACTTGTTTTGTTTTATCAAATCCAGGACTAGGTGATCTGAGAGTAAGTGCCAGCCTGCAACTGCACTGTAAAAATTGTGCGTAAAAACAGCACTTTTACTATTTATTGTACATTGGGCCTGTCCATTGTCACATTCAAATTCTAATAAAAGCAGAAATGTGCATGTCTTTAAATGCTCTTGTGATTCTTTTATAATCAAAGTTAACAGGGCATTATGCAGGTGTTACAACAATAATTGACCATAATGCGTATAAAAGTGTGTGTTGTAACCTGTACATAGATAAGAGAGGCTACATGGAGTCATTGCCCCTGCACAAGTCTGCCCCCTCAGGATTTTGAACACAATAGAAACCTTTTTCAGATCCCGGTAACAAGAAACGAGAGACACCTCCAAAAATATGAGTAATGGTAATTCTGAAAAAATATCAAGTTTATTTTTAGACTTTCTTCCCACGCTGGATTATCAAACCTTGTCTGCACTTTCTGAGGTGGTTAGTCATGCTTCTAGCTTCATTAACAAAGATTTAACTTGCTATAACCATGTATCTAAGCTCATCCATACAGGTTCTAAGTGGTTAGCCATGCTTCTAAGTTAACTATAAAGTGCAAATTGCTATAACCATGTTTCTAAGCTCATCCATACAGGTTCTAAGTGGTTAGCCATGCTTCTAAGTTAACTATAAAGTGCAAATTGCTATAACCATGTATCTAAGCTCATTCATACAGGTTCGAAGTGGTTAGCCATGCTTCTAAGTTAACTAGTAAAGTTGAAATAGCTATAGCCATGTTTCTAAGCTCATCCATATAGGTTGGAAGTGGTTAGCCATGCTTCCAAGTTCATTAGTACACGTTTAAATTGCTATAATTATGTTTGTATGTTCCCCCATGAAGGTTTCTGGTGGTGACCCATGCTTCTAAGTTCATTAACACAGGTTATTCATGCTAATAACTTAATTCATGCAAGTGGTTAGCATTGCTTCTACATTCAATTCAATTCAAAAACATTATACAAAACCACATTTACTGGTTTACTTTACAAGTTTTGTAGCTATTTGTTGTTTTTTATGCCTACATACTTGCGGCTATCTGAATAAAACTTTCTTATATGTACAAATAACTACCGGTAGTACTGCTCTAATATCAGTCCGTTACCTCAGAGCAGTTAGGCTTTGAGCATTTCACTGAGAGACCGTTTTTGCTGCACTCGCCACCATTTGAATAAAGCCTTTCTTTTGTCGCAAAGTTGTGAGAAAGCAGACATTTTGGGTCACTTCTAAAGATTCCCAGATTTGATTAAAATGAATAGACTGGCTCACATCCAGACAAGTTGAGTCCAGTGCGCAGAGAGCCTTTGTTGTCGCTCTCATTCACTGGTGCACAAACTTGGCAGTGGTGTGGCCCAGTGCAAGAATAAGCACTTGTACAGAGCGTGGAGTGGGCCAGCCTCTGCTTACAGTGCCCAAATTCATGCTGTGGGAATGATGAAGCCCGAATAAAGGACGTTAAGATGCCCCAGTGGGTTTAAACAGGGAGGTGCACATTTTAGCCCACAAATTACAAAGGTTTATTGACACACTATTAATAGACAGTAGTACTCTGCTGCTGTCTATTCCGGAGTTACAGTGACCTGCTTCTGGGATTCACTCACGGTTGGTTCACACAATCGAATGATGCCTCTACGTAATGACACCACAAGTTAAAGCGGATTAGCCAGGGTGACATCAGATTTCCCCCCCCTCCTCTTTCCCCTTCTCTGAGCGCTGCTGAGGAAGAGGAGGAGGAGGGGGTTACTGCGGGTCAACTTTTCCCCTCATGTCTGCAGCTGTCACCTGGACTGGACCGGACCATAGCCTGGCCTCTGTTCCCACACTCCTGCATCTCAGACCACGAAGGACGTCAAAAGAATTCTGTTTAGCAATTGGGATTGGGTGAAGCATTTGAGATTTTTCATCATAAATAATAAGGAATTTGAACTAAATCTTCCATCATTCCACAGAATACTGTTTATGCTGTTTTCACATTTATGTTCTGTTTTATTATAAGAATGTTTTATTTCATTGTAATTCTGTGAATGTGAGTAATTACAAAAACTTGATGTCTTCTCTCAACATCTGTCTCTATGAGTTGACTTTGCTCAATACAGATGACACTCAGGAGATCTTTGAAAAACGTGGGACTTTTTATTCAGTTCTTTTGAGACAACAAAGTAAAGAATGGAAGCGTTAACTCATCGACGTGAACTCGGATTAAAAAAGTTTACAAAAGATTCGACAAAACAGTTTTAGTCAGATTGAGCGTACATTCCACGTACAGTTTGAGACAGTTATGCTTTCTCGTAGGTTCGCACTGCCTGGACCCCCTCAAAGGTCACGGTCTGAAAAAAAATAAATACAAAGTCTACACGGGTGCTCTCTGTTTAATTTGAACAGCATCCCTAAAAGTAACTTACCATGACCATTTTCTCATCTTTGATTTCTCGGACAAATTTTGTCTCTTTGCCGTCCCACTTTTGCACCTGCACAAACTTGTCGCCCTCCATCGAAAACGTAGACTGTGTACAGAGAAAAAGGGAAAAAAATATTAGTGTTATCAATTAAGATATTTGGAATTAGCGCGTGCTGTTGCCGGGCATACCTTGACGTGGCGGTCGTCTGGGGTGGTTTCGTCGAACTCTTCTCCCAGTTTGGCAGATAGTTCTGTGTTTCTGAAAGTGCTGAGGGTCTTCACCACCACTTTGTCACCGTCCTGGCTGATCACAACAGTGGGTTTGGTCACGTTGCCCACTTGCCTGGTCGCAAAGCCCACCCCTGCAAGCAAAAAACAATTTTACCATTGTATTAAATTTTAAACACTATGGGACATTTTAGTTCAAGCAAGAATAGACTTACTCAAACAAGAGGAAAATTTGCATTTCCTCAGCAATTATTAATGCATTAAATCTATTCATTACATTTCCTAACACTATTCAATACACTCTTTATGATTAATTTCATGAAATTAGGATATTGGCATTTGGTAATGTAGTTTTGACTTAAGCAAAAATAGTTTAATATCATTATATCACGTAATAATATAATAATGAATAAGGACGTGTAAGTGAATCGTAGCAGAATACGTTTATGCAGGCATATTCATAAATTATTGACAGTCAGTAGCTGAATATTTCGCCACTTCTCACTAAACTGAATCCCAAAATTAAAAGTTAGACAGTTTATTTATATATTTGGATTAAATACTGGGTTTTTGAAGATAGACTCTTTTCATGGCACAATTTGTGTTTGTTTGCAGGAGTTTCCTTGACTTATTTCTACATTAAAAAAAAAAGAAAAGTATAAGCATACACATTATTTTATTTGGCAGGAATGTAGATATATATTTTGTGTGTAGTATGTTAAATTAATAAAAAAAAAAGTAAGACTTGCATGTGCCGGTAAGTATGGTATTATGGTATGAATGAATGGTCAAGCTAGTTTTACATGCTAAAAACATACCTAAATGTAACTATTCACTTACCCAAGGCCTTCATGTATTCGTCAAAGTTCTGGCTGTCAACGAGTTTCCAAGTGGCGCAGAAAGCCTCCATTGTTGGTGCAGTTCTGTGAGATTTGCGGGTTAAGATGATAATGTGGTACTGGATGTAAGTGACAGGACGCGCCCGCTGCTGTCCGCGGATTATATCTGACCAGGGGGCGGGACTCTGCCTCATACCCGCTCCTGATTGGCTAATGCAGAGTCAGACCAACAGCTTGTGTGCGGTTGATTGACAGGTGTTGGCAAAGATGGTGGTGGTCAGTTTATGGAGGGGGAGTGAGGGGGTTACGTCGTGCAAGGGAGTTAAGGACAAGTGGTCAGTGGGTTCAGCTTTTGTCCATGTTATCATTGTTTATTTGGTGAGGAGAAGCGGACAGAGCTATGAGAGGTGAATTTAAAGTCAACTTGGTTTGTTTTATATAAATTGTGAATATCAACCAAACTGTGGTCGCAAAACAGAAGCTCCTGAACAAGTGCCATGTTGAATTAGGAAAGTTTATTATGTGTCCTTTATGTTTGACCACTGTAAAGATGATAGTTACCTTAAGCTAGAATTACCTTAAGCTAGTTGCTAATAGAGCCTCATTATTGTCTTATTGGGAGAACGCTGTAAGCCAGAGTTGTTCTTCGCGCTCCACAGAAATGTGACTTTTGGGGGACAAGGTTACTTCTTGTTCCAGAGCACTTTATCTGAAACACTCTGCAAGACACAGCCAGACTCAGGCTCCTCTGCATCTACTGAGGTTTGATCTTCACATTGTATCCTGTGTTTCTAATATTAAAACGGGGAGGATTTTTTTTGTTGGTCTTCTTCCCAATAGATGCAGTTGGATGACTTATCAACTGAGAAGCTACCAACCAACCCTCCCTTTTTTCAACAGAGAAGAACAGCATTGTGCACTGGCCGCTCATCTTTAATATTCAATTATTTGATACAGGGACATAACATATCTTTATATTTTATCTGCTCATTCAGACACAAAACAATGCAGGCCTCCACTGTCGAGGTAGCAGAGCAAGCACTGAAGACATCACATGTAAGCCCCAGGTAGGAGAACATTTTCATTTGATGTAGATGTTGGTGTATTATTACATTCATATAACCAACAATCATTATAGTTAACATAACTTGTGTGGATCATATACATATTTAAAATATTTTTTTGAAATAAAAGTTAGAGCAATGTTTACGTGTTATGACTAATGTTCTCAAGCAAAGGGAACTCAAAAGTAGTTTAACTCCCAGTAACTAATCCCAGTAACTACGTTTAATATAAATATATTACAATTTTATGGCATGGGCGACAGTGGTTCAAGATCGTGGGTTCGAGCCCACCACAAGACCTACTTCATGACTCCCACTGATGTGTGCTATTGTGGCCTTGGGCAAGACACTTAAACCCACTTTGCCTGAAGCGCTCGCTGAAAGATCAAGGCTCCTGTGGACTCACCACCTGCAGGAAGATCAGTGAGGTTCTGGGTGCAGCGTTGACTGCCATCCCCCGACCCGAAGGGGAAGAAAATTGATGAATGAACAATTTTTAGAAACTCTGCTCCTGACCCTTGTAGTAAACACATCTGTCAATCTACTTGGGGTTTGTGAGTCTATATCTTTAGCGATACAAATACAAATGATCACAGTATATTCATTTTAAAAGACCCGATATAATCTTTCTGAAAGACTTCCAGATTTTAGCTGCATAAAACTAAAGCGCTGGCTGTGTTCAGTCTAAGGTTCAGTCCTGGGCGCATAATGAGTGATTACCACAATTGCCACTAGAGGGCAGTGTACTATACTTAACTCACTGTTTTTATGCTGATCTGAGCGTGACCATCCTTGCTTTCCTTTCAAGTTCATTATGTGGCTGTGCTAAATGCATTATACTTTCTCCTGCAACTTTGAGGTTGAATATAAGGAGTAGAAAGTACAAATATTTGGTAAAAGTAAAAAGGCGTCCCGGAAAATACCAAGTAGTCAATTTGAGTCACATAAGTGTGATTTTTGAATGATTTTGTGTTGTTTGTTGTTACAACCTGGCTCTAGGCAATAACCAGTGCACCAAACAAACGGATGTAAATAAAATATAGTTTTTTGTGAGTAGGAGTGAGCAGCAGGAGATCATGGCTGTGAAGTGTACGCATAAATCCATGGTTGGATCCTGACCATAGACTATCCTGACTCCTGACGCACGTATAGCCAATACCACCCCCCAGCACCACCTGCACAGAACAGAAAGTATATGCATGGCCACAAGAGGGCAGCCAAGACGCAGCCGTGACGTTATACAGTTTTACTACAGTCTGAGAGCGTCAAGCGTCGCTGACTGTAGGTTCAAGCGTCTTTGCCTTTTTACTTGTGCAGTGTCCTGATTGATACATCTAAAGAGCTAAGGCTGCCTAAAGACACAAATAACTGCTAACAGTTTATTCACATTTGCTAAAAGGAAAGTTTAAAGTATCAATATCAAAGTGAAGTACAATACATACTTACAACACATGCAATACATCATTACTTTTCTTTTATTTACTTGCAATTCAAAATGTAATGTTATAAAGTCACAAAACCAATGAGACAGTCAGTTAATAAAAATGTATACTTCATTTTGACTTTGTTCCTAAAATACCTTTATTGGAGCTTGTTATTTACATCCACTTCCAGCAGTTGTATTCATAAATGTAATATTTAGGCCATACCATCAGTAAATGAATCACATATTATAATTGGCCAAAATCAATGCATACATTTTTGATAAATCGGCCTTTACTTTTCATTATTGTGCGCCTATTCTGTTCTTGCATGAGTCAAGAGGGTGGTCTTTAAAGGGATTGTGGGGGTGTGTGTCTATAATCGTGTTATTACTGATCTGGCTAATGGAATCTCTTCTGATCTGAGGCTTAGGTTTGGTTTGGTTTGGTTTTAATCCAGTGAAACAAAGTCTGTCACTAATGAACAGTATACAGAACGTAGCAATTTTAGCATGGCTGATATGTGACTTAGCATTCATGTAGGGGGTTGCTGCCTGAATGACATCATGTCTGTGTGGAAGGGACTCTCCATTGGCTGCTCTCGTCCCGTACACGATTGCTGCTGCTGTGGATGGGGGAAGGGGGGCTGCCCAGTGATGGGAAACGTTCGGGTGTGGGAATCAAAATGAAGGAATCTTTCACAAATTCTTAAAACTGAAATAATTCAATTATTGAGTTTAAATAGAAAAAAATGCTAATTGGAACTTTAATTACTATTTTTGTTTAGCCCTAAATCACAACAGCTGTCATCTCTGAGGAAATTGTCAATTTGCCAACAATAAAATCAAACAATTAGAACACAGGCTGGAAATACAACAAAGGAGCCATTAGTCTACTCTACAGGGTAGCAGGATGACCAATGTCACTATATATCTCTAAATATCCTGAATCATCACTGCCCTTAGACCCTCTTGCAAATTTTGCTATATAAGAATCTAGTTTAAATTATGTACTCGATTGAATGTTGCTGTTGAATATTGTGCTATGTATTCATATGTTAATTATTCATAATAATATCTGTGTTTAAAACTGATTCCAATTTTAAATCAATGCCATCAGTTATTCAACAAATATTCAACCAATAGATGTAAGCAATGGTTAATGCTTTCTCTCTCTATAAAGTAATAGATTCATTTGATCCTTTGAATGTGACCCTGTGGAGACATATTTGTTGTCTTGAGTGTGTCCTCTCAGTGACATAAACGTGTATGTGTGTGAGACTATAGGACTGGATGGGGGTCATCAAAACAGACAGATTTATGGCCTCGCAGACCCATAAACCTGATTGTGTGTGACATCATGACGGATGTGAATCAGTAACGCAACAGATGATGTTCGCACACCAGTGGAGTGGATCACAGACTGAAGCGAGAAATGTATTTGGGACGGTGGGATATCTTTGTTCATTGAATATTATAAAGTACTAATATGGTATTCTGCAGTGAAACACCACCAATATTCTTGAACATTTTGTTTGCAAGAAATCACCTGTAAAGACAATATGTGAAGATGTGTATACAGTCTACGGATGCCATGGAGAACTATTGCAATGGCACAGTTGCAGGTTACTAAATACAGATGAGGAACTGACATTAAATGTAAAAATAGGCCTTAGGCAGGAGATTATGTTGTTTGAATGAGTTTCATTAGTGACAATTTTTTCAAATGTTGGGAAATCAGCACTATGCTGCCCATAACCAGAGCAACTCTTAGGCTTATGGAGATTATTATTATTGATGCAAACAAAGAGGAGCCAAATGAAGTAGTGTATATAACCTGGTTAAGAGAAGACATCTGTCTGAAGCCAAGTTTTTGCTTTATAGACAAGCCTAAATGTATATATTATGGTTTTTGAATTTGGGTGTACAGTCTTATGTACAGCTGCATGTGTTTCCTGACAGACTCAAAGAACAATATTATTATGACTTTGATTGATCCGTTACGATCCTGTTCATGTATGTGGACTCACTGGTGTCTGACCTATTCTGAAAAGTTCAGAATCTTTAAAAAAAAGTTGTGTAAAATGCTTTTATCCTCCTTGGGTGAGTAGACTGGACAAACCGTGTTGGCTCCCTACTTTGTTACATGTTAGCGGCTGAAGAAGAGCGAGATTAGTTGTTATTCACAGAAAATGTTACCCATAGAATTTTTTTTGACATTTGATTTAGCTGGGTGTTTACAGTTTGCAACCTGTATAAATATTCCGATCAGCACTTTCATTGTACACATCTCCACATTCTACTTTTTGTCCGAGTGGTTATGTTATCTGTGCTCTTAGCTATCAACATTTTTAATATTACTGATAATAATGATGCACTATGTGGATATTTCTCATTTTGTGGGGACTTAGGCTTGTACACACTCTATGAAGACGCCACTTGTGCCAACATTTCTGAATATGAAGATGAAAAAATGTAAAACCAGTAACCAGTAGCATCAAACACGCCCCTTTAGTGTGTGTAAATCATGGGGGGGGGGGCAATTATAACTAGAAAACTTTTGACCTGCTCTGCTAAATGAACAGTG